TTGTTGAGAATTCGATAGTTAACCTTTCTATTTTTAAAAACCTTTCTAACTCAGAAAAGTTAGAAAGGTTAAAAAAAATTTAAAACTATCGAATTCTCAATTTCTGCGTCTTCCTTTAGAAATTCAAAAGGAAGACGCAAAAATTGTGCTAACTAACATTGTCAGGTTCTTTTTTTTTTCTATGGCTTTTTTTATCTGGATTCGAAACACGTTACATAGGAGTTCCCCCGCCCAACTTTGTTATGTTATGATTACATTTCCAAATTATTGCTTTGCAATGTCATTCCATTCTGTTTTTAGCTTTCTTAACAAAAGTAACTTTTGTCAAGAAAGCTAAAAACAGAAAATTTCAAAAGTATGATGAAAATCTGCTTAAATTTACAAGCGTCCGAGCGACACCTGTGAAGTCCGGATGACCAAAAATGATAACTACAATGGCAGAAAGTTACAATACAACATTCATTAATCAGTAAAAACATTTTTTTCAGATGTTATACAACATTCTTGTTAAATGTTATCTTATGTTCATAAATTTTTAATGAATAGGAAAAATTATATTATCAAACGAAGAAAAATAATGATAAAGTTAAGAAGACCATAAATTTAATTAATGTGTAGTCCCATTGTTTTTATGTAAAAAAAACTATAACTTTGTGAATAGCAGTCTTTCTACGAGAAAATAATTTCAGGACTGTATAAGTGATAGACTAGGGAATACCATTCTGTTGACCGTTTGCTCCAGAACGAGGCTAGTCTTCACATGCGCATTGATTTTTAGTTTCCTAAAAATCCAGCATTACTTGCCTCATGCGAAAGTTGATGTTTTGTTTTAGTTATTTATTTTTTTTGTCCTATCAAGGGACAATTCATTTAATCAGGATATAAGCATTCTTATGACGAAATATCATATTTTTTCCACCTAAAATCAATATGAACTGGATGTTTTATTTTATGTTGCTGGTTCAATTCTTATTCTGCATCTTTCATCGATAAAATTTTTTTAAAAAGTTCAATAACAAAACTGCGTGTTTTTGGCGGAGGGTATCTCAAACTTCAACTTATATTGCTGAAGTAAGTATATATTTATTTAATTTAATTCTCATTCTTTATTTATAAAGCGTCCTTAGCATTGTTTTTTTTTCTTCTCTCTCTCTCAGGTTTATTTTTGTCGTGGGGGATTTACCCGCTCTTTCTACAAAATTTACTGTTTCATATACTTACACCCACAATTCCCCCTCCCTTTTTTTGCTGCTTTAATCATTGTCATTTTTAATTTCTTTCTTTTAAACCTCATTTGTTATTTTTAGTTTACTTTGGAACTTAATTCTGAATAATGTCTCTTGTGTTTGCAAGCTTCTCTCTATACACGTGGTTAACTTGAAAAAGTGAGAAATGTTTCAAAAAGATTTAGAGTGGTCAAGTAAAAATAATTCATTTTATTTTTAAAGTTTGGGGTAAGCGGGAAAAAAAGTAACTGTTTCAACTTTGTTCTGTTTTTCTATCTGTAACTTATTTTTATTTTATTTAAATTCTAATCACGAAAACAAATGACGTGTACGTGTGTACACACAGTTATACTGCCCAAATTTTGGTACTTAATAATATCCTAAAAATAAAAATAAAAATGAATGAACGTGTTTAGTTTAAAACGAGTATAATTAAATTATTGAATTGATTATTATATTTTTATTTTAACTATGACAGCAAACACCTCTTGAATAAATATTCATAAATATATTCCCATCGATGTGTAATTGAGTTCTTCTGGTATCCGCCCTTTTCTTTTAGAAACCTAGACTCAGCAGGGCATCATACTCTATCCAACTAGAAGTAAATAATTGATTTAAAAAAAAAGTAATTTTATGATTTAATATGTAAAATAAATAAATAAATAAAAAAACTAATTACGAGCTTTTCCTGGAAAGTAAAGAAGTTGGCTATTTCTTGGAAAATGGTCCGTTTCAAAATACTCGCATTGTGACTTTAAAACAGGATTATTCCCTCGTCTTATCTGCTTTTCTCGTCTACAAAGTCCTATTTCGCGTTCTTTTTTAATCTCATCCCACGGCGATTTTTAGCTGTGGGGAAAAGAAGACAAGGATTCAAATGTAGACAAAATACTAGGGGATCGACACACTTGTATGGAAGCGGCGTTTTAGTCCAAATCCTGCAGCTTGCTATGTTGTGAATTCATCGTTCACGAAGTGCAAAATTCCACTCATTTTCACTTTCTCTACCGTTCGAGTAACCTCAGGGAAGAGTCTATTCACTCATACGTTGTAAGGTTCCCTTCGATTGGTTGTGAATTTACATCGGGGCCGCACAACCAGTTCTCCAGATATTATTCCAAAATTAAAATAATTAGAATCCTTTCGAAAAACTTCGTGATACTTTTTAATTTTTTTTACTCACTAATACACAAAATTCATTTTATTTTTATTATATTTTATTTCTATTTATAAAATATAGTTTATGGATATATTGTTGATTTTTTTTTTTTTTTTTATCGCTCTAAAAATAGTTTTCGTGTCGTAAGCATTGAGTTCTCTCCCTTTCATTTGTTCGCCTATATTTGTATTCTAAACTCTGCTCCAAAAGTAAAAGCTAGCGTTACTTATCCCCCCCCCAAATTCCCATCTTGTATGAGGCGGGGAATTTGTATGAGCTTATTAAGTCAAAAATTGCGAGATATATATGAGGCTCAATGGATAGCGGCTCCGAGAGCCGAGTTCGAATTCCAGTCGAATCCATTACATTCACTTACGTGCTAATTAATACCCTTGGGAAAGGTATTATTAATCCTCTTCTTCATCCAGTTATAGGTAAAATATAGCAGGACAGACTGGGTTCTATAGCCTTGAATGGCAACTGGTCTAAGAGAACAACAGCTCTGAATTCAAATCCCGCGGTGGGTCGTTTGGGGACTTTGTAGTGCACCAGGTCTCTGTATTCGGCCCTTCAGAAAGTGTGGTTGGTTCTGTACAAAGCCCTCACCACTAATCAAATCATGTATTGGTGTCTGGCTGTTGGTTCCTAGGGACTGAGCTGCTTGACCCTCATGTCGAATATGACGGGAGAGTCCACTATAAAAAAGCATTCTATAATTAAATTTGAAGTTTTTTTTTAGCTTCCATTTTTGAAACATGGTTATTACTGTGTAGCGAAAAAAAACACATTTTAAATCAGTTAATTTATATACTAACACACTCTACGTTGTATCTTGCACTTAAAAAAATGTTAAAGGGCTGTGGATTCTTAATCTGACCTTTTTTTTTCTCTTTATTTGGATATATATTTCCCGTCTCTTTTTCAATCCGTACAATTCTAAATACATTTCAGAATTTCCAGGAATTGACATCATCAATCACTTATTGCAATTGGTTGATACTTTTTGAAAGGAAAGTGAAATATCGTTTCTCGTTCATCCAATTTTTCTTTCGTAGGATTATTAAACTGAATTTCAGTTTTTAATTTTAAGTTGCATTTTGGATGCGTATTTCAAGTCCAAAATAGCTGTCGGAATATGAGGTTAGTTTAAAAGAAATGTAAGGTATGTAATTCAGTTTTCCATGCGAAAATTGTTTCTAAAGGTAATTTTTTCTTTTTACTACAAAATTGCGTCAATTGGTTAACATATTCCTTTAAGGATTTTGTTAAAATAATTGACAACTCTTATCAATTTGCGTTCATTAAAATTTTTAGAATTCTTCAGTTCAGTTGAAATGTTTTTTTGACTATGTAAGTAATTTATTTAATTCAGTTATGAAAATTAATTAACTTGTTAGCGAGCAAAATATTGGTGCTTGTAAAAGATTTTTACTCCTATGTCTGGAAATATTTTTTCCTCCTTCAAAATTGCATCATTGATAAAAAAAAAAATTAGTAATAAATGAGTATTTTAAATTTCAGTTTCGTGGAATAAACGCCTTTTTCATATTCATCTCTATTCTTTACTAAAGTTTAAAAAAAATTAAGATTGATGCAAATGAATATTGTAATAAACTTATGTTAAATTTAAGCTTTAAATTTTTTTAAAGTAAACTTTCTCATTAAATACGTCGGTTAATAAATTCGTAGTTTAATGAAAAAACATTTCATACAGGTTTTTTTTTTCTTTTTTTTTTTTTTCGTATAAAAGTAAAGCTTTGTAGATGCATTTTTGAGTAAATCACGAAGATCGCGCATTTTACAATGAAAATTTATCATTGAAATTCTGCTAATCAGGATATGAACATGTTCAAGGTTACTTCTATGATGAACAATCATCATAAAATGAAAGTGATATATCTACAGACAAATAGTTACATCATTGCCATGCAAACAAAACTGAATATGGGTTTGTCTTTATAAGCAATATAAATTATTTTATTAAGCTAATTTAGTGTTATTAATTTGTTTAAAATGTCTGATATATTTCTAACTCTTTATAAAATAATTTTTCTTTTTCTCTACAGAATTCTTTTTAAGAAAAGAAAAAATTAATGGATACTTTTTCCAATAAATTATAGTAAGAAAGCAATAATCAAGTAATAATGCATTTTAAATTAATATTTGAGGAGGAAGATACATGAAAGTGGTTGTTTTTGTTGAAATTCACATGAAATAATATTCCGACTATTTGTGGTTTAATCAAGTATTGATTGAATTTATTTTTTCTTTTTTTTTTAAGTTACATTTTTATTTTCTTAAAAATAAGATTTTTATGACACTTCAAATTGAGCTAATTGTTAAAGTGCCAACTATTTACAGGTTTAGTTTACTTTGACACAAGCCTGCAATTGTGGTTCACATAATGAATGGATTTTTTATACACACTTTCAGTGAGATACAAGTTCAGTAAATTTGTCAGTGAATACCTACTTTTGAGTAAAATTCAACAAGTGATTATTTAAAAAAAAAATTCTTTATCTGAGAAAATCTATTAGTTTCATTTTTTATTTTATTTTATTTTTTTTTTTTTAATCATTCTCATTTTACAGCTCAGAAAGACAGTCCTGAAGATGTCAAGGTACATGAATCTGACAGTTGTTGAGGTAAAATCTTTTCTCTTTTTTTTTTTTTTTTTTTCTCTCTCTCTCTCTCTCTTTTCTAATGGGGAGGCAATTCTAGAGTAAAAGAAAAATATGCTAAGATTTGAAACATGGGCAGATAGAAAAATGAATGCCAGAGATTTGCTTATCATTTTGTTCACACTACTCTTCCTTGGTCTTTTGAACAGGAGTAGGTGTTTATCCGTTGTTTCCTGTTTAGTATTAGGTTTCTGTTCCATTCTAAAGTTTTGTTGTGAACCCCCACCCAATTCTCTTTCACTCCCAGAAGCCCCTTGTGTCTTAGTGGCATTGAATTGATTTAAAAAAAAAAAAAAAAAATTTAATCTGCCCAGAGAATGTTAATAGTGAAGACGATTGAGCTGGTAATAGAGCTACACTGGGTTTCCACAATATAAGTAGGCCTTTGATTTAGGCCCGGAATCACCTCTTGGTAACATCATTTCATATGGAAAATCTTGCTAGAAAGGGATATACAATCTGGTTGTGAGGAAAGATGTTGCAAGTTGACATCAGTACCCTTTGCAAGGTACTGCCGGAAGAGAATTGGTCAACTGAAGATGTTTTCCTGATTTTAAAAATTTTCCATTGGAAAACTAATACTCTAGCAAAAATGTTGTAGACTGACTTTGTCTGCATGCTGGAGACTAAAAAAAAGTTTCCTGATCAAATTGCTGAAGCAAGTGCCACTCACCAATATAGGACATTGTTCTGAATAATACTAACACCTAAGAACTCACTAGCTGGCTATGATTTAAATCCTAGCATAATTTTTTAATTGTAACCCATAACAAACAAATGTTTCTGCAGAGTTGTTTTTCTTAAAAGTAACATTTCTTGATTTACTAGTATTTCTTTTATCTTAGAAAATTATCTGATTGTTATTCAGCAGCCACTTGTAAAGAGTGGATTAGAAGTAAAGAACTCTCAACATTTCTTTTTCTTGGGAAGCCTTTCTTACCATTACAGCTGCTGTACCACTTTAGCTACAAGAACCAATAGTTGCACATCTATCCATACAAACTTGTTTCTTATTTATCCCAAATGCTCAGTACTTTATATAACATTTTCTTACACTTATACTAATATTACCTTTTTTTATTATTATTATTATATGAATCATTGTCAGACATTAATGCATGGGAGTTTTAATTTTTTTTTAAATGAAATTAAGATGAAGTACCAAAGGGAAATTAATTTGTTAATGATGCTACATTTTTTTCTTTTTTTCTTTTTTTTTTTTTTTCTTTGTGCATTTATTTTTAGTTCATACTCTTATTTCAATATATCATTACTCTTGTTTAGGTGCAGGGTCCTGACCGAATTCTTGCTAGAGAAACTCCAGGTCCTACTGCATCTGATGAGACTATGGAATATGTTTCTTTTTTTAAAGAAATGAATGATTATTTTAATAATGATGTTTTAACTTTTGAGAGTCACTCTCCTAAACCTAATGAGGTAAGTTAATCTTCAAAACATTAAATTGAAAAAAATAACTAATGTTTGTTGTCATTTTCAATCTCGTCTTGAAAAAGGAATTTCTTTAAAAATGAAATATGTTTTTGCTTTAAACCACTGTTTAACTATAGAAATGACACTTGTAGAAGAATATCGTGATTTTTAAAAATTGGCTAATTACCAGTTTTTTTTGTTTGTTTTTTTTTTTTTGCTTATTTATGGATGAATTTACAGTAATACAAGCATCTCAGCATACAGTTTTTTGAGATACGAGCTGAATTTTTTTTTTTTTTTCTGCTTTGAGATACAAGCCAGAGTTTTAGCTAAGCATCTGCTAGTTGGTACAGCGAGCACCAAGATTCAAGAGTAATTCCATTCACAGTACATGTGTTCGCCTCGCTCTGAAAGGATCTCTGTTGTTTTTTTTTTGGGGGGGGTGCCATTATTTTGCAAAATTCTTTTAGTGACACCATGTGTCTGAAGAAAATAATTGTAAAGAGCAGTGTTGAATTTTTAGGGGCCTGAAACAGATCAGAAATATTCCCATTAATTACAGTGGTGAAAAATTGATTTGAGATATGAATCTTTTGAGTGATGAGCTCAGTCTTGGAATGAATTAAACTCATATTTCAAGGCATTACTGTATTTAATGAATTTTATATGAAAAATTTCAGAGAATTAAGCCAGCCACCATACCCATCTTTATTGAATTTTATGAAATTTCAATAAAATGCAGAGATTAAATCCATTGAATTTTTTATTTTCAACTTTATAAAATGTAGAAAATGTGTCTTAAATCAGAATATAAAAACTGCAATAAAGCTAAAAATATTTAGGGGGGGAGTTTTTGGTCACTTTATTGAATAATCTATACTGTAGATTTTGCTTGTGAAAGGAGAAAATATTTATCAAAGAATTTTTTTTTTTGTAGTTAATAATTGAGAAAAATAAAAGTTGACAGAATCTTTGTGACTTGTTGGTTATCTATTGCCATTTTTTTAATTTACATACTGGTGATCTTTTATAAAGTTAGATTTGGTATTTAAAATTTTTTTCTCTCTCTCTCTCTCTATATATATATATATATATATATATATATATATATATGAATCTTTCAAATAGTATATTTTACACATCTGTATTTGTGAAAAAGTTGGAAAATTAATTTAAAAGATGGCAGCAGATATTCTACAAGTACCAAATCTAAAAGATGGATAGATTTTTTTATGTATTGGAAGAAATATTAAATATTTTTATAAACCTCTTGATTTTCTTTTGTATGTAAAAAGAAATAATTTTTTTTAATAGAATTTTTAGTTTTCCATACATTAAATAATATATTTACCCTCATTCAATGCTTTTTAGAACTACCTATAAATTAGGTTTTGTATTGTTCAATTTTCTTCTTCAGATTTGTGCAGCACTTCATAGTCAAAATAATAAATGGTATAGAGTACGAGTCAGAGAGATCCTGATGACCTTGAGTGGTGCCAAAGCAGAGTAAGAATTTGTTTTACTATCATTGTATAAATTCTTTACCTGTTGATGCTTTCATTTCTCAACAATGATGATTTTTTTTTTTTTTTTTTGTATGAAATTTAAATTTTTTTAAATAAAATTTTGGTCAAGACTATTGTGATCTTCACTGGGTGCTCCACATTTATGAAATTGTGCTAGACTAAAATAAATGTTTCACATATTTTTTTACATTGCACAAGTTAAAATACAATGTGGTTGTTTATGTTCAAAGTGACATGACTAAACAAATGTCACAAAGTTAGCTGTGCAAGAGATTTAAAAAAAAAAAAATATTTTAAGATTACACATCTTTAGTGTAGGGGGCACCAAACTACTTAGTTATTTCAGTTTGCAATTATATATAAAATATGAAACAGTTTTTTTTTTTTTTTTTTTTTTTTTTTCTCTCTCTCCTGCCAACTTAACTGGACAGTGCTATTTCCATCATGCTGACTTTAAAGCTTCAGAAAGTCCAACTCTGTTCTGAAGAATGGCCACATATCTATGTGACCATGAAACTTCAAAGTCAGCATAACAAATAACACTGTCCAATTAAATGGGGGGACTTTTCAAATTAATTCTATTAACGCCTATATCTATCCCCAATATTGAGCACTCTACCAAAAAGCCTGCTTGCCTTAAAATGCCCTTCTGCAGCAAGCTCCAGAAAAATTATCAATTTTGGCTTCAGTCTCCCAAATTAACACACACACATTCAAAAAATGGGGAAAATGTCATTAGAAATTGTTATTCTTCCAACAAGATATCAAATACTTATGAGCAAATAAGTGACAAAATGGAAAACTGTGGTGTTCTGTTCAGAAAAGGAACTTCAGATAATGACCGTTTTATTTATTGAGTTTATATAACAAGAGAAAAACTGGAAGAAAAGTATAACCCGTATTATTGTTTATATTGAAGCATTATTGTTACAGTGATTTTTTTTTTTTTTTTTTTTTTTTTTTTTTTTTTTTTTTTTTTATTGCTACCCAAAATTAAATTTGTTTTTTGTACTGTTTGCATTGCATTGGTTTTTTTATTTTGTAAAAAATTGGAATTACTTTGCCTTTGTTTTTGCAGTTGTTTGTTTTTGGACACTGGCGAAAAACAAATGGTCCAAACAGTAAAGTGAGTATTTTTTTTTACCCCCACCCCTTTTATAATTTAAAAAAAAATATATTGTCTGACTTAATATTTCTTAATCAAAAATTAATGATAAAGATTATCCATCTTTTTTTTTTTTTCCTTCCTTCCTTTTTTTTCCCTTTTTCCTTCTTGACACAAAGAAATTTCCAACACTTGTTATATCCATGATTTTGTTAAATCCTCAACTAATAAAATGGTACACCAGTTGCATATGATTAAATTAGAATCTATTAAACTGTTCTCAAAATCATTAACCTAGCTTTGTACTTGTTTCTTTGAGTTACCAATAATATCTATACATTTCTTGATTTGGTTGCTTAGTTCATGCTTAAGTTATGTCAGCACCAATAAAGTAGCTAGTAGTGAAATGTGTAGCTGGTATAACTGATATTGGTACAGAAAGTAATATTGACAATTCAAATTCCAACCAAAGTTGTCTTCACTTTATGCAATGACCTTGTCAGAAATCTTTTCTTTTCTTTCTTTCTTTCTCTCTCTCTCTCTCTCTCTCTCTCTTTCTCTCTCTCCAAATGCTGAATGTGGGTAGCAGAGTAAACTAGGCTCACTAGACTTGGTAGGGGCAAGCAGTGTTGAAGAAAGACAACTTTGAATTTGAAACCATGGAGAAGGAAACTGCTTATCTACCTTTCTGATGAGCAGTCATCTGAAGGGTTATAGTATTTAAAAAGAAAAAACACAAAATATAAGCCCATAAGTATATGAGCCATTTTTTTTCTCTCTCTCTCTCGCTTTGTGGGGGAAGATGTTAAGTCATTTTATTTAAAGTACTTAACATGTACATTTAAAATTCATCGAGTATCCTTAGTTTCTGTTTCTTTGACATCCCAAAAATACAATGCTTAATTTTGATTTCTAATTTAGTGCATAACTCATTTTCTTTACATCTTATTAATTCCATTGATTTTGTACAATAGATTTTTGCCTCTTTTGTCTCTTGTAGAATTCAGAAAATTCCTGAAAGATTTCTGACCCTTCCATTTCAAATAAAAGTTTTTGCTTTGTATGGTCTTCAGCCACTCTCTCTTGTTCTTGACTCCACAATGAGAGTTTCCAACAGGTATGTACATGTTTCATTTAAGCTTTGATCATTTCATGTATATGAGTAAATTTTCTCTTGAGGATGTATGGCATCTAGATTTCTAGTTGTATTGTATGATCTCTGATATTATAAGTAAGACTTTTTAACAAATACATTAGAGCTTTTATTCTAACCATTTTATATATATATATATATATATATATATATATATATATATATATATATATTTTTTTTCCTAAATGGAATGATTTTACTATTAAACTCTGAATCTTGAAACTTTTGACCTAAAATTTGAGTGAAGTTTGAAGAATAGAAAAGGCATTGGCATATAAATTTTTAAAAATCCGTTTCTAAATCTCTGATTGTCTTTCAATCATTCTACCTCGCCTGCTATTCTCTTCCGCCACACATAGGAAGCATGCTGCACCATTTAGGAACCACTGGTTTAGGGCCGTAATGTGTGTATACTTTATCTGTTTTGCAAAGCACCATTTTGTTCTTTTTAAATGTTTCAAAGATGTTTAGCAAGGGTGTTTGGTGGGGAGGGTGGACCTACCTACAACTCACTATAATTCATCCAATCCCCTTCAGCTGTCCATTTTGAGCTTTGGTAGACAATCTTCTCATTATCAGCATATTGAATCAAGTTTTGTTTTTGTTTTGTACGCCAGGTACAAAAATTAAAGTATTTACAAAGTCATCAATTAAATATTTATTTGTATAATTTTTTTCACAATGTAACTATGTAGTCAGTTTTTTATGAAACTACTTTAATATTTACTGTTTTCTGCGTATATCCAAATTTAAACAAACTCACTTAGATACTTTTAAAATGCAAACTGTTATTGATTTGTAGAATGACATTAGGATATTTTTAGTTTTGTAGCTTTCTTCACTAAGATTCTTAATCTCATCTAAAAACCTTGTCCTTGCATTCATTACTCTTGTATTTAATGAATTAAAAAAAAGAAATATTTATTCTATTTACATTGTTCATCCTATTGTCCTCATCTTTGTTGTCATATTCCCAGCATTTTGGCTATTGTATGAGCCGGCCTTCTTCAGGTGATTGGAATTTTGAAACGGACCCTTTATTTCATCCATGAGGTAGATTGTTCTAGTTCAACGTGCCATGCCTCTTCTGGATATTTCAGTTATTTTCCTTTAATAACTCGGCTCTCCAAGTTTTTGTGCACCTCTGCTGTTGCCAGGTATTGTGCACCTCTGCTGTTGCCAGGTATTGTGCACCTCTGCTGTTGCCAGGTATTGTGCACCTCTGCTGTTGCCAGGTATTGTGCACCTCTGCTGTTGCCAGGTATTGTGCACCTCTGCTGTTGCCAGGTATTGTGCACCTCTGCTGTTGCCAGGTATTGTGCACCTCTGCTGTTGCCAGGTATTGTGCACCTCTGCTGTTGCCAGGTATTGAACTCGCAACAATTTAGGTAAAGTCACTGGATTAGTTCCAGTTCTTTTATCCACTGGGCCATGTGTCCTTGTGGACAATCACCTGAAGAAGGCCAGAACATACAATGGCCAAAATATGAACATGACAAAGATGAGGGCAATAGTCAGAATAATATAAATAGTGTAAATAGATACAATACGTTATTTCAAAAATATAGGCAGGTATTGAAAAGAAATATCCCTTAAAGTTACCCAATTAACTGTATGTAGTAAGTTCAGTGGTAGTCCTCTTTTTATTTTTTTCCAATACCTTTTACACTAATGTTAATAGTTTTTGATACAGGATTTAAAATATTTGTCAGGTGAAAATTAGTTAGATTTCTGCTTTAGACTCTCAATAAGAAAAAGGATATCTTTTTATCCCTTATGTTAAGATTATTTTGCTTTAACTTTTAGTCACAGTCAATTTTTATGATTTTTTTCTTTCTTTTTCAGGCCTTGCAAGAAATGGGATAAATCTGCAGCTACTTACATTAAAAAGATGATTAACCGTAAGAATTTTGACTATATTTTCTTATTTGTTTCATCTAAGAAATTTAAAAAACATTAGATATTTACAATCTAGTAAAGTATACAAAAAAAAAAAATAAAACTTGAAAAAAAAAATTGGATAAAGAAAAAATGTAGCCATATAGTTAAATTTCATTACCTGCTGTTGAGAGTCTAATCAGTAAGGTGTTGACAATAAATTTGACCTTAAAATATAATGAGAACCTGAGCATTTTTTTTTTTTTTTTTTTTTTTTTTTAAGTGAAAACAAAAATCAAATGAAATTTCAAATGTGGGCCAATTTCTATTTTGTCTTGAAACTACTTACAAACATTTCATGTCTTAGCTATATATGCCTGATGACTTTTCTTTTTTTTTTTTTATCACCTTTTTGTTTACCCAAAATGATGGCTAGTCTGATTCAGTTTTTAGCACTTGTGCAAAAGTTATTTAGTAAGTAATTTAAAATACCAATTTTGTTTTGTTAATAACTTTTGAGATGTTAATGATAGTAGGCAAAAGTAAAATATTTACAATTTTTACAGTTTGTGATTTATTAATATTCTAGATGCAAGTGCCATCCAAGCTGTAATAAAATCCAAGGGAGAAGGAAGTGTGCTGCTTACTATGATTTATCTCAGGTTCTTTGACAATGATGAAATCGTGTCACTCAATGATGAACTGATTAATAAGGGTTATGCCATCAAAGATCCTCAACTCACAAAACTCTCAGGTATGTATGAAAACAACATTAAGAGTGCAATTTAATTTAGATTTCGGAAGAAAAAAATAGAAACATTTTTATATGACACTTCTTCCATTCTGTGCTGTCTTAGGCCAATAGTGTGTGTGTCTGAAAACACAGAGAGGGGTGGGGGTGCATTAAGTTAATTAAGGACACATTGAAGACCATAAGAAAAGCAAGCACATCTTACAAGTAAATTATTGCTACAAAATTTGTACACTGATGCAGTAATAGTTGAATTACATGTTTATTCAATGTAATTGCTTTCAGCTGCAATGTTGGCTTCACTGCAGGACTGGAATCATTCACATGCATTCATCACCTGGTCCTGCATTGATAATGAACATTACTCTGGTAATGGTGGTGGCTTTTAAGGAATTGGTTGTATTGTGGGAATGTTGACTAGTCTCCCATTCAACAGTGCCCCACCTGTTGGCGGATTTCAGTTTGGCTTTGCAGATTGGTCAGCATCCAATCTTGGGTCACCTCAGCTTTGTGAGCCAGTACAGTCCTTCTGAAACACATGCAGCCTTTCATCATATACAAAATGTATCCAGCAGACCCCGTTGAAAGAAGTTGGGTAGTATGACATAGCCTTCACTAGGGAAACTGCATAATGTAGGGGAAGTGTCTCCACCATCATTTCTCCTATTCACCTTTTGATCCTAGTTTGTTTTGTTTTTTTTTCCTGAAGAGGGTTGGGAAGTAGAAAAAAGTATGCTAGGTTCTTCTGGGTCTTTCAAATTGTTCAGTAATTGTTGTTCTTGTGTGTGTGGACATGAACTGCTTTTTCCTCATCACCTATGACTTGTATCAAATGTCCTCATGCACCACATTGGGGATTGTTTCCCCTGATACTTGGAGATCTTCGGTAATGGCCCTCGTGGATGTTTCGCAATTCACATCGATAATGTTCTGCACTCGTATGAATTGTGTCCCAATACTGTCCAAATGCTTTATTATGCTTTGCTGCAGGCAATAGATTCCCCCCATTGGATGCTCACAACTTCTTCCAGACTTTGTGCTCAAATGACCTGGCAAATTCCCAAAAATATACAATCTGATAGTTTGCTGTCAATGCTCTGAAATTCACATTGATTATCACATCATTAAAAACCTCGTGCACTGTGTGTGTGTGTGTGTGTGTGTGTACGTATACACATACACACGGAATGAAGCAGAAATAATTGACAGGGAATATATTTGGAAAGTAGAATGTGCATGTGACATAACAGTTACTGGCACAGAAAGTGGGTTTGGCATTTCAAGTTCAAATCCCAGCTGAACCCATTACGTGTGTGTATGTGTGTTTTTTTTTTTTTTTTTTTTTTTTTTTGCGCAAATACTCTTGTGAAAGGTATTAGTCCATTTCTTCATTACGCCCATGCTAGGTAGGCGCTAATAGCAGGGCAGACTGAAGTGATGCTTTTAATTGCCAGCTAGTCTGGAAAGTGGGCCTAGTGCTATTAGCTGCACCCTGTAAAACCTACTTGCTTTAGCGACCACAGCAGCAATGCCTAGTGCAGTGAGGCTGTGTTCCTATACTCCAGCAATGACATGATTGGGTAGAGCAAGTTTTCAGCTATAGAGCACTATTTTTCTACAGAGATTTATTTTAATTGGCTGTAGATTTTCCAGATGCTCTTCATTTGGTCAGTTAATGCCTGTACAGTATGTCACACATACCACATCACAGTTGTCATGGCTGAAACACAGTACCCTAGCACTTTACTATACTCATATTTACTGTCAACTCCAGTCACTTTCCAAGAAACAGGTTTTGCTTTTCTTTTTCTTTTTTTTTTTTTTTTTTTTTTTTTTTTTTTTTTTTATGTGTGAATGGTTAAAAAGATGGGGCGGGGCAACAGGAAATAGGGAGATAAAATAGCTTTTATGGGACCTTCAGCACTTCTAATTTTATTGAGAATTTTTATTTTCTCATAGTCCAGCATCTGAAAATTTTCAAATAGTTAGAAATAACTGATCTGTAATTTAATTGTTGCAAAATACATCTTAATTAGTTTGACATTCTTTAACAACAAACTTACAATACATTTTTATTTTAATTCTGTATATTAAAATGCATGTGAACAAATAAGGAAATGCTTGTTTCCAAATTCTAAATGACAACTTTATAATCAGTTAATTTGTATGCTAGCAATATTTTTATATGAATGAGTTATGCAGATTTTAGAAGTAGATTGAGGGCAGAGCTGTACTTCAAATTTAAGTTCTTCAGTGCCTTGAAATAGGACTTCATATGTACCAAATTGTCACCAAACCTGATTAATGCTGTATTTTGGAATTGCAAGAAAACCAGAAGGCTCTCTTGTATCTCACATAATCACTTTCTTTGCCACTTTCCTTACAAAATATTTGAACAATTCATCTTTGAAAGAATTAGATTCATTTTTAAAAAGTTAATTTTGAAGTTTTTTTTTTTTTTTAATAACCTGTATTCTGCTGATTTGAACTAATTTGTTTTTTCTTATCTCTTGTAGATAAAGAAACAAATGCTTTCCTACAAGATGATTTGCTGACAAAAGATGTAAATCAGAAAAAACTTGGGTATCCAATCAATAATTTTGATTGCTCCTCAATGTCACAGAATGGCTTTCATAGAAAACTTGGGGAAAACGAGCATCCAGTTTGTATTGAAGTGATAAATAAATCTGACATTTCTCATGTCATCTCTTCTGATGATTCTAGTTGCACGAGTTCCTCCTCCTCCTCAAGTAACCCAAATAACTCTTCTGCATTTCCCTTGGAACAGCCCACTTGTACTGATTCTAAAAAGCACCAAAAAATCCAGTGTAAGAATTCTTCACCAGGTACTGCTTTTGAAACATCCACCAATCAGCAGACTACAGCACATTTAAGTTCTTTGAATCAATTGCTTTCTTATCATAAAAAAATTCAACAAAATAACAAAATAGAGAAAGACTCCAATTCCTTAAAATCACATTCTGTGTGTTACCAGATGCCAGATTTAGAAGAGAATACCTTACAAGCAGAGTCTAAAAGTTGTCGTCTTGATTTGCCAGTCTCCAGTTTTGAATCTGAGAGCTCTCACACAACTGAAAATAGTGAAACGCTTTGTGGTTCGGAAGAGAATAGGGAGAGAGAAAAAATTTCACCTGTGATATCAAACAACAAAAAAGTCCTTTGCAAAAATTCTTCATCGGTTCAAAACCAGCAAATACTACCATACGCAGTTTCCAAATTAAAAACTGGAAGTGTACTAAAGGAATTTCTTTCTTATCATAAGAGACTGTCTAGCAGTAATCAAGATTCTAATTTAGTTGCTTTCAATGCCCAAGATCATTCTTCAAAGACATATGCCAAGAAAGTACAGATGAAATGTGATGCAGATGATAAAAATAGTCAACCAAAAAATTGTTTGCCTGTTTGTAACTTCAAAGTGGAAAATGATCGTGAAAAGAAATCTGTAAATAATGATAAACAGGATTCCAAAATAAAGATGAGTCACTGTAAACAACCCCAAACTGTAGTCAGTCAGTCATCTTATGTCCAACAGCCTTCACCAGTGACAAACTGCATTTTAAATAATGACACTCATTATTATGGAACAAAATCAGATGTGCCTTTTAGAGGAATTCAGCCAGAAGCTGATAGTAGACCTAGCAGTATGTTGGATTTCCATCGCACCCGAGTGGAAAAGTCACCAAAGGTAACTGTGCCTGTTTGTACTTCTGCCAAATGCAAAGATAATCAGAGAAAACTTTCTTCATATTCCTCTGAACATTTCTCTTCAACAAGCAACAGTGATAATGAGCGCTTTTTTATTACAAAGAGTTTTTGTCAAAAAGCTGAGACAGCAAATTGTAACTTAGACACCTATACAAGAAGTGACAATTTGAGTAATCCTTCCAGGAATTATTGCAGAAGTAAAAAGAACATTTCTTCTGAATCTCAAACTTCTAAAAGCCATCAAAGTAATGCATCTTCCCAAGAAATGGCTCTTGCCTCGGCAGGACTCTCTACTTCTGCTGTGAACATTTTAAATCATTCTGTCTCTTCGAAGCTTCACTCCTTCTCTCCTGGTAACACAGTCTTAATGTTACAAAGTCTTAATACTTTACCTCTTGATAAACTAAATAATAGTGAAAGCGATAATTCCTCTGAAATTGGTTTCTCAAATGAATGCCAAGCATTTAATAAGAATAGTGACTTAACTGAAGCTGAAAATGGTAAGCCATGTTTGGGTTTCACTTCCCGGTCTCACCCAGGGAAAAATTCAGTGGAGAATTTTAAAAAAGAGTTTAAAAAGTCGGAAAACCAGGAGAGAAAAGCTGTCATATCTGATAATGTTGAAACTTTGCCATTAATTCCGATGCAAGAATTTTCAGATTCCAAATATTTTAAAGGCATGAGTGATGTGTCTCCAGTTTCACTTTTCAGTCATGAAGAAACCCTCAGTTCTTGTTTTAAATCTCAAATGAAACCACTTCAACCCTGTGCAGCATCCCAAAAGAATACCAGCAAGCAGGAAGATTTATTAAGTTTGCCTAAAATGTAATTTATTTTATTTGTTTATATCTATATTGCAATTGTGTGTGACAAATTTACACAAATGCTTTAGTAGATTCATTTTGGCACTCTCTCTCTCTCTCTCTCTCTCTCTATATATATATATATATATATATATATATATATATATATATATATATATATATATATATATATAGTGTGTGAGAATGTAAAATATGTTGGCTAATAAAACAAGGACAAATGAAAGGATACCAATATAATCAGTACGATATGCATTTATTTATTACTGACCATATGAAAAATTAAGCATGGAGGAAAGATTTTAAGTTTGGAATTTTCAGACATGCCTGTGTCTTTCATCAATGGTCTGAGGAACAGAGAAATGCCAATTACCCACCAACAGATGTTTTTGTAGATGGGGTATTTACCAGTGGAAATCGTATTATTAGCAAAATCTAGATCTCTGTTTGATTCCTCAATGTGCAAAACATTTGATGAAAATTTTAAAATTTTGATTGGTGTATAAGTGTTAGGCAGGTCTCTTGTTACTAGTGTGTGTCGTGAAGGAGTGAGATTGTAAACATTGATGAAAAGGGTTACAGGTTGTGGGGAGATGTCTCGTGAAGGAACAAAATATAGATAAAAATTTTGAAATCTTGTTAAAAAGGTTTTATTAAAATAAAGGAAAATCTGAAAGGAAAAAGTGTGTACATATGTGCACATAACTATAAATATACACAAGACCATACACAAACATAGGAATTGCCATACACATATAGATATAAATACATATACAAAATTAATGTCTTCACTAACTTTCTTCTCTCCTTACATAAGTATATGTAAAAGAGCCATAGGGATAGATTCAATGATGGCATAAAGACGGTGATTCCAATCAAGCAAGTGTCTAGAAAGTAGCCCTCAGTGTATAGGGCAATGCTTTTATTGCTGACTAGTGTGTCATGAGGGAAATCATAGGTGGTAGAACATAGATAGATGGGGGTGATGGCTGTTAAAATTTACAGGGGTGGGAGGAGTTAGGTGTGGGGTTGGTCATCCGAGGAGTGTTGTTACTGATTATTGGTTTCCTTGCGGAAATTGTACTCTCTGAGTAAACCCAAATTCTTACCACTACTAAAATGAGGACAAACAAAAAGGTGCCAATATAATCGGTGCAATAAGCATTTATTAAATATTGGCTATATTCGTACCCTTTTATTTATCCTTGTCTTATTAACCAACCTATCTATTTTATATACAAGGAGCATACATGGACCACTTATTTATTTGTGTGTGTGTATATGTGTATGTATGTATGTATGTTATATATATAGTACAGATTGTTTCCAAATGAATGTGCCAAACTGGTTTTAATGTCCTTTTTCTTTTCTTTCTTTTTTCTTTTTTTTTCTTTTTTCAGGTGAAGGTTTAATGTGATTCAAAGGAAATTTTTTTTTTTATCTGTTTTCTATTCGTTAATTCTTTACTTATATAGAAATATCTAACTAATAGAAAATATAGTCCAACAGAAATTTATCGAATTTCTGTTTATATGAAAAAATATTATTTGCCAAAAAGTTTGGAATTCTCTTCACCATCTTTGCTTTTTTTCCTTCCCAATTGTTCAAACAAAAATTCTTGATGCTCAACAATTGTAGTTGAATTAAAGATTGCATTGATGCACATTTGCGATATATTTTTCTTGGGGACCATCATTGACAGGCTAAAAACTCTTTTCTGTACCTGAAGATTTCTCTAAATACAATAGAGAATGTTCTTTTCCTTTTTGAATTGTATTATCATTCATTTGTAATGAGGATAATGTTTTTAATTTTGAGTTGGTATGAGGAGGAGGAGGAGGAGTAGTAGTAGTAGTAATAGTATTAAATTTTATTGCAGTGGCTAAATCATTAAAATAGCTTGCATAATTTAAAACTGTATTCTGATGCTGTAATTTAAGTTTATTTGTCCATTGCAACAGAATTGCCTGTGCATTAATATTTAATAACTTAGTCAATAAATAAATGTGAGACTAAAAACTCATTCTTATGGTAGCACAAGGCATTTTCAATTCTTAAAAATTAAAATGTTAGGAAAATAATAAAATTATAAGATTTTATTATGGCAACGCTAGTTAGTGTTAACAATGGAGTAAACCTGTTGCATTCTGCTTGATAAAGGCTGAAAAATTTTAATATGGGGAACAAGGCTAATATATAAATGGTAAAAATAGGGTAGATAACAATTTTTATGTAATTGTAGATAGATTTAGGGTAATAAAATATTAATACCAGTTGCTGGACAAATTGATAGATATAGTATCTATTTTATGTCGTGTAGTACTGCATTCTATAATGCATTTGACCATTTTGTATTTCCATAGATTATATTAGCTTATAAGCAGCCATCTAAAATGTTGCCTTTTGCAATAATGTAACTGACTATGAATTGATTCCAAACTCTTTAGTTTTGGCATAGTTTGCAGTCAGTATTCTGATAGAAGTGGGGGTGGGGATAGCATACTCAAAAAGGATTATGCAAAAATGCTTATGGGTGTCTTTCTCTAAGCTAGTTAGAATCTTATAACACAAGGAGTAAAATGTATCTCAAGAATTGATGATTATTTGTTTATGTAGCTTGGGTAACTGTGTCAAGATACTTTGGAAGAGATGCATTCTTCATCTTGATAAATATAAGGAAGTATCTGTTATGGCAGAGCTCTGACTAGTCCTCAAAGCGAGATTGGGGGTTCGAGGCCTACATTTGTTTGATGTGAGTCCAGATTTCATTGGCTTACAACCACATCACATTGAAACAATGGTTTCTATATGAACACTGAAGTTAAGCAACGTTGAGCCTGGTCAGTATCTAGATGGGTGACCGTTTGGGAAAACTAAATGCTATAAGCTTGGATGTACAGGTGATGTAATGGATAATTTCTATGAATTGTTAATTGGAGAACTGAGTTCTAATTACCGTTGGGTTTGTTATATTTACTTAATGAGCAAATAACTTTGGGAAAGGTATGAATCCTCCTTTTCTCTCCCCAACTATGTGTTAATTAGTAAGACTTATCACTAAAATCATATCTCAAAAAAAAATTCTTACAATCTAAAAAAAAAAAAAATTTTTTTGGTTTTAAATAACCTGTAAAAGGTTAAGTTATAGAAAACAAATCAACAAACAATAAAATAAGTTTTGCTTGTTACACATAATCATAGCAGAGAAATTCTTTAGCCCAAAGTAATATTAGTTGGTCATCCCATCAACTTCCTAAAAAAATTTTTTTTTTTTTTTTACTGGCAACCCAAGGCTGCTTATCACTTATTAAAATATAATTCTATCCAAGTTTGATTGCTTATTCCAAACTTCTAAATACTGAGATTAATATTAAATTCTTCCTTTAAATCCCTTTTGGTTAGTGTTATTATATCCTATGAATCTGCTTCCCAAACTGTTGGCACCAGTTGTCTATCACTTGTCTTTCAATTTGTTTTTGTGAGCCACAAAGCCTAAATTACGTCCTGTTTTTGTTGGGCTCTTTGGCTACTGTTCCTTTAAATTCTGAGTTCTTTACTAATTGCTTGTTAACTCCTCCACCACCAGTATTGTTTGTATCTTGATCTTTACATATTTTACCTTTGCTTTCAGGTAAGAACTGCTTTTTACAGTTTGTATTTCCAACTTATCTGTTACTATTGTAATAAGTATTTTAAAAAAAAAAAAAAAAAAAAAAATTATGGAATTGTTATTTAGAAAATTAAGTTAAAGTGGCTGGAATCTTTTTTGTAAGATGTTATATTTCTTTTATCATAAATGCAAAATTTGAAAATGTATTTAAAAAGGAGATCAATGATAATATTGAATACAGCACAATTCTAAACTTTTGCTCACAAGCTGATGATCTATAGAAAGTTAAATATTTGGTTCACTGTCTATAGACATGCCATACATTGAATGTGCTAAACTTTGTTTTTTTTTCCTGTCTTAACCTAATTTGTGGAGGAGCTGCTTAAGTTTCTGTTTTATGTGTTCTGGATTTTTTTTTTTTTCTCAATTTTATTGCAAAAAAATTACACTTAGTCTTGTTCAGAAGTTTACATTTTTTTCTTTCTTTTTTTTTTTTTTAATAACTCTACTAATATGTGAAAAACTTGTATTTTTTCTAGAATTGAAAAATCTTTAATATTTTGACATTGTTTTTATTTCAGACTTTCTAACATTTTGCTTACTAGATCATTTATTTAAGAGATGTCAATAAAATGAAAATCTTTAAATTTATCACTCAATTATAAAACTGAGACAGAAATTTGTGTGTGTGTGTGTTATATATATATATATATATATATATATATATATATATATATATATATATATATATATATATATAAGTTCTCTGGTCACTGGCATGTTTGTTTTAAAAATAAATTCATCTAAATTCATGTTCATCTCTGCCATGCGGCAATGGCTTGGGTCAAATCTCTGACTGATACCAAATCAGTCAGGTTTCGATCCCGGCTTGAAGCAATCAAAAGTCTAACCACACTGATGAGCTACGAAACAGTCTGCCTGTGGATGAGTGACACACACACACACTATATATATATATATATATATATATATATATATATATACACACACACACAAACTTGCATATCTTGCCTAAAAGCTTATAACAAAATTCAGACAATAGTCCTTGTACTAAGTGACCAATATAAACATAAATCTGTCTTCATATTTGGTCAATATATTTTACAGTAAATTTAATATTTATATCACTTAAACACACTTTTAATAGATTTGCTGAGTAAAACACTTAAAGTTGCTTTCAATCCAATTAACAATGATTTCAGTCTCGTTTGTAAACTTTTCCAATACAAAAAATTAATTTGTGCTATGAGAATGCCTAGATTCCATTTCAAACCTCAATTTCCTAAAATCCATTTTGATAATAATATTGTATCTGGATACTTTATACAGCTTTGTAGTTGCTCTTAATTTTACTATAATTCAGTTTTTTTTTTTTTTTTTTTTTTTTTTTTTTTTTTTTTGTCTGACATTGCAAAACACAAAAACAGTTTGGTGGCTATATTTTCTGTGGTTAATAATGGGACACTGGAGTTTGTTATAGCATAGAAGCTAGTTAGGATGAGGTGGGAGAATTTACAATGTAAGTATAACACTAAAAATGAACCTGAAAGTTGTTTTCTGCTGCCAGAACACAAATGAGGAGGGACAGAACAGCAGCATGACTGGAGACAAGTGAAACAGACATGTCCATGGCAGAGGCGACAAAGAATTCCACACAGGAACAGCGCAAACAAAGGTTGAATGTAACCAGGACACAGAAAACAAGGACAAACAAAAAGGAAATCGGAATCATGACATTCAATACAATAGAAATACTGGCAATTCAATGACTTAAAAAACTGAAATCCATCCGTTTATATTGATCCCAGAAACATTGTTAATTTCACTATGCAAGACACAAATCATTTGCATAAACAAATTCTCAGCCCACCACAGCAACCATATTTTTTGGCAAGCAGCTGTTCTCGCGTTCACACTGGCTGTCCTGCAGACGCAGCAGACCAAGCATTGTCTTTTTGATCAACAGGGTCAGTCAGCCTTATCAAAGGTAGCCAGCAGTTCCTCCTGCCTTTCACTTCTGTTATGCTCCCCTCTTATCTCAGGATAACATATTTGGCAATCCAGGGCCAGTCTCTTGCGCCTCATGTTCCTTTGTGGTCGTATAACAGCAACTTCCTCCCTGAACTGCTCATCTGTAGAAGTGTCATCTGATACCTCTGTATCAGTCCTGGGGCTGCTTGCACTTTGGATGGAAGATTTACTGTCACTCCCACTCTCAGAAGCACTTGAACCTATAATGGGACATACTCCCTTACATGGCAAGGCATCCTGCCAACTGTGGGCTAATCACACTTGTAATGCATCCATGTGCATAAGGGTATGTGCACCATCCTTCAGGGATCTTTATCCAGGCACAATCTCCTACTTTGTAACTAATGTGCTGCTATTTGGGCTCATCTGGAAGCAGTCCATCAATTCCTTTCAGCTGTACTTGGTAGCAATAAATCGTGTTGGCAGTGGCAGTCAACGGTTTTGGGGTGACATTATACTAATAAACTGCTTTCATTACAGAACACGGTTTTCTTGCCACAATCTTACACTCCGATGACTTTATCTTGTGATGCCATTAGCGGAAGGGACATGCACAGGGCGGAGCCGCAGTTGAACTCCCCATTTGTTCAAGAAGTCCCTGAAGGGCTTGCTGTGTCATTGTCAGCAAGCATTTCAGTTGGTGGGATACACTTGTAGAATAAGGGCTTCCAAGTGGTTGATGACACTTGCTGTCTCAGGTGACGCCAGACAGAGAACCATGTAGATGTGCAATCAACTAGTGAGAGATAGTATTCGGCCTGGTAGTGGGTTACGTCCATTCCTACTCGATACCAAGTGTCGCTGCTGATATCCAATTTGCCCTTCATCCAACATATAGGTGGTGGGTCTGGCACTCCTTGCAATTTCCTATTACAGCTCTCATTAACACCTTAGAAATTGTGGGATCAACCTGCCTGACAAAGTACAATGTCCGCTTTATGCCAGGATGACCACTTCAATGATAGATGGACCCTATCCAGTTGAAGTCGTGCCTGCTTGTTGATACTGTACACGTGGTTTGGAGGTTCAGCTGTCTTCATGATCAAATCAGGCCATCTCTTCAATGTACTCTTGTCAGACATTCCACTTGGTTATGTTTATGTCGGGTTTTTCCTCAGGATAGGGAAGCAACCATCCATTATCCAGCCACATCTGCAGCTTATGTTGTTGTTCTCACTGGATTTGAGCAGACATTGGATATTCAGGTACCCTGTAAGTTCATTAGGCGGATGATGACCACTTCCACAACGCTGTCCACACCTTGGTCTGTTCATCAAACTTGGCATTGAAATCCAGTTCCTCTATCCTGATCACAGCACAAGCACATATTTCCATTCTAGAGAAGTTGCCTTCACCATAGTGGTTGACTCCACCCAGCATTTTAGTAATATCGAAGCGGGCTGTCCAAGACTAGGACATCAGCTTTCATGGAGTTTACATTATCTATCACCAGCATGATAGTACCAACGCCCTGACAGTGGAGAATTTCACCGTCAGCTGTCATGATATCCAACTTCTCTTGGCTCCGGGGACTGCACACTGATCCAGTCACAAGGCAACCAAGAATATCCGGAATCCACCAGTGCCATGAATTTCTTCTCATTAATCAAAGCTTCAATTACAGAGAGCACCTCTTTTAAATTGACTGGGGAGAGACTGGCACCAACATCTCACCCCTTTCTCTATTTCCCTGGATGCTCATATACAACATGGCTTACCTTTCAACACCTGAAGCAGTGTATCTTGTGCTTTGCATATGGGGCTACTGAGCCTCTCTCCACTCTGATACTGGCACTTTCTTGCAAAGTGGTTCGAAGCATTTATAACACGTAATGCTATGATTGTCCAACATACTAGGTGAGGTATGTCCGCTACTGGACTGAACTGGTTGTACAGCCACTGCAACCAATTCTTTCCCATCTGACATAATGGTCCATGCACTTGTCGGAATTTGCCCCAGAGTCATGTCGTCCATTCTTGATGATGCCCGAAGGTTCTCCCCCACTTGACTCGGCATTCCAGCTATAAAGGTGCATGTCATCCATTTCTCTGGTAGTGCATCCCCGACAAGCAGGGTGAGCCTCCAAAGTTCATCCGATAACAGTTTCACCAGGCAGCAGTCATCATGTCATGAAGTTGTCAAATGCCACAAAAGAATCAGTTGCAGTAGCAGTTACCAGAGCTCACTTGACATGGTCTATGTCAGCCCTTTGTTCCTTCCCAAAGGTCACACAGCTCACAAATGAGCTCCACATTCTCTAGTCCTCCTATCGGTAAATCGGTAGCTGCTACACTGAACAGGAATTAGCCAAATGTCAAACTGCTTGCTTGTCATTCCTAATGAAAGTTGTTTTCTGCTGCCGGAACACAAATGAGGTGGGATGGAACAAGCAGCAGCACTGGAGACAAATCAAACCAGAGGCAACAAAGAATTCCACACAGGAACAGCGCAAACAAAGGTCGAACGTAACCAGGACACAGAAAGCAAGGATAAACAAAAAAAAAAAAATCAAAATCCCAACATTCCATATGATGATAATACTGGCAACTCACTTTTTTCTCCCGACACAGAAAATCCATCTGTTCATATTGGACCAAAAGACATTGATAATTTCACTATGCAAGACATGAATCATTTGTATAAACAAATTCTAGGCACTGCCACAACCATTTTTTTTTTTTTTTTTTTTTTTTATTTTTGGCGTTCTCAGGTTTGTGCTGGCCATCTTCTGCATACACAACACACTGAGCATTGTCTTTTTGATCAGTGGGGATGGACAGCCCCATCAAAGGTAGCCAGCAGTTCACCCTGCTTTTTACTTCTCCTACAGAACCTTTATTTCTGTCAGGTTATCTAAATGGATTTATCTTTTTATAAAAACACATTTATGTATATATAAACATCTAGGTAAAAATTTTGTAACCACAACTGGTTATATGAATTTTCTTCTGGTCAGCATAAACCCAAGGTTTAAATCATGTTGATATTTGTAGTATGCGCATTGGCCACCAACGATCCATAGACTTTAACATTTCAATGAACTTTATTTATAGGCCTTCACAAAAACATTCAATGTTTTACCTATGCTTATTACTGCAATAAAAATCTGATAAAAAAAAATTCTATTTTACCAAAATGTGAGTATTTGGAATCATGTATAAAATAAAAAACCCCTTTCTTAAAATATTTTAAATAAACGTGATTCAAGACCTGATGATAATGTTTGTTTTTGTTTTGTAAAGTTTGCTTAAGCAAATAGTTCAAATGGATTTTTTTTTTTTTTTTTTTTTTATATTGTTGGCAAAGAACCCATTCTTAGACAATCTACAGGAATTAACTTAAAGCACTACTAATAGGGCAGATTTTCAGTTGGTCTGATTAATTTATACTTTAAATGGTCTGTCCGTTATTATTACAGCACCAGTAATATCAACTGGGTCTAGAGGGACATATGCTATTGGATCAATTCAAGCAATATGGTAGCTTCCATATTGTGGCAGCATGCTTTGATTTACAAAATGTGATAATTCCTGCAATTGTCCTGTCAAAGCAAAATTTGCTTACTTGGTCACAATCAGTTGTGTCAACTTCGAGGTCCTCTCCTTGTAGAGCTATACACTTTGTGAGAGAGTGGTGCCATTTCTGGAAACTTTCTTTGAAATCACATTTTTTTGGTTACCTCTCAGTAATGTACTCATGTCAGCAAATCTTTATCTTTTCAGGGCCTTTTTCAATTCTGGAAATAGCTAAAAACAATCACAGGGTTGAGTCTGAATAAGGTGGATGGCACATTTTTGTAATTTATTTCTTAGCCAGGAAATTGCAAACTTCTAATACACAATTTTTGTCTTTCTAGAAACCATTACACTATTTCTCTATTCATTTTCTTTTTTTTTTTTTTTTTTTTTTTTTTTTTTTTTTTTTTTTTTTTTTGCTATCATTCACACAACTAATTTTCAATTTGAGTTCAAGTGGAGCAGCCTATCATTTGCATCATTATGCACATATTCTCACCCTCTTTTGAACTGCCTTTGTCCCTCAAAAACTTTCTTCAAAGCATGTTCACCATATGCCAATTGTTTCATTAGCACTTTTACCAATCTTCACATAAGACGATGTTAACCTGATGCTCGAGGTTCTTCTAACTTATTTTCTGACAACAGTATTACAGGAACACATACAACTTTCTCTACTGCTCGGCAACAAATGACTCCTCTTGCTTGCATCTCAAGAGAACAGAAGTTGGAACATGCCTAGATGTGCTTGTGTTTTTTGGGGGTTTTTTTTTTTAACATATGAGTTTCCAGGGAGCCTTGTAGGCCATTCTTGACTTTAATGATAGCTTTAAAAGTGAAGAAATAAACAAATTTGTTCTGACTTCAATGATAGGACATGTGCAAGAAGCAAGAACATGCTGCTAATCCAGTTACATTCCCAATATATATTGCCAGAATATATGATAGAAATGTGCTAACTGGTGTTGGTGATTACGAGGATATATTGTTTAGTGCAAGCAAAGAAATGAGCCAAAATAAGATATGTCAGAAAAATTTTTTATCAGAAATTTAATGCCAGGTGTTTTTTTTTAATCATTCTAACATTCCACATATTAATAAGTACTTCATAGAGGAGTATTTTAACTTTGGTTTATCATGTTTTCATAATAAAATTTCCTCATGGCAAATGTTAATATCATAAAACTTTTTTTTTTTTTTAATCAATAACCGAGATTGCCATACAAGTTGGAAATTTCACACCTCAACCCTCTTCCCAAAATCTTGCTAACTAAATGCCAGATACCTACACATTTCATTATCGGGCTAAGAACTTCCCAGCTCCCCTCAGTATATATAGTGTATGTGTCTGTTGACATGTCATCTTTCATTACAGCAGAGGAAATAAAATTGTCATTACAGGATCTTATGAATAGTGTTAAGCATATTTTGCTGTGATTAAGTTTGCCTTTGACCAATTTTAATCCCATTCTATACAAAAAAGACCCAGTTGAAATTTTTAAATAGCACTGCAGTATTATTTAAATCAGATTATCTTCTGGTTAATTATAGCTCAGAATGTGACCTTAAAATTTGTGAATATTCACTGTAAACCATGTCCATACAGGGTTTGAAATATTGGCCCTTTTTTTCTCTCTCTCTCTCTCTCTCTCTCTCTCTCTCTCATAAACCATTTTGATTTTGGTGAACTATTCGACATCTCAAATTAGCAAGGAATGAAAAAAAAAATTGTCTTTTTTCTTTTTTTTTTTTTTTTCTTGTACAAGGCCCAAGACTCACTCAAGAGGGTTACAGAGTAAGAGGCACAGTTTATGGGAAGATAATGGTTGACCCTAGACTTGAACCAGTTAATATTGTAGTGATTGAGGAAACATCCTCTTGGGAATCAGTTCCAAAAGGCAGTGGTTCAAATCATGTTGTGCCTGACTTGTTTTTTCACACCTGTAATTGATAGTGGTTAGTTTAAAACATCATCAACATTAGCACATCATCTAATTCATTTTATAACTGGATTTGTAATGTGACATAAAAGATCCCCCCCCCTTTGGAGGAAATGAAATATTTTCAGTTACCATGCAGAACTAATAATGACTTACTGTCTATTTAGTATTCAACAACTTTTATTATAAGGATAGTTACTAAAAGACTAGTGAGGTCAGTATTCTTCTCTTAAGTAGATATGATACTGGTATTGTAATTGTGTTTGTTCATTCAGTTTGCCTGATAAACAGATCCTTATAGTAGACAATGACCTCTTATCACTCCATGTATGTTCCTTAAGCAAACAATTGCTGACTTTGATGTACAACTAATTTCTTGCAATTAATTTCAAGTTCCAAAAATTCTTTTAGTCTGAATACCAGATGTTCTTAATGCTGATAAGTGGCCCAAGACCAAAAGTTTGACTCTTACTATAAGTCAACATAGATTTAGCGGAAGTGGATAAAATGCAAACATCATTTTTAACATTTGTCTATATTTCTGAAATGAGGTATCCATTGTTCAGACTGTTGTCCTTGTCTTTATTGCCATATTCACAATGTTTCGGTCATTGTATGCTCCGGCCTCCTTTTGGTGTTTGGAATTTCAAATTGAATCTTTTATTTCATCCACCAAGGTAGATGGTTCTAGTTCCATGTGCCCTACCTCTTCTAGATGTCTCAATTACATGTGGTCTTGTACCAAAATTCGATTAATTTAAACGCTATTTAAATAATCTTGCATTAAATTAATGTTTGCTTTGATACACGCGTTGTCTTAAAATGTCATGATTGGATATAAATTTTTATTGAATAATTAACCTAAAAGTAAATTAATTTATTATTTTTACTTGTCTGTTTTAATGAATACCAGAAAAGAAAAATTAATGTTTTTAAAACTTTGTGATTTTATTCCTTTATAGCTTTTCAAAGATCACAAATTCTTAAAGTGAGTAACTAAGGATTTTAAGGGAAAACAGCACAAAAATTGTTTCTGGTGTCTTGTTCATGCTTTTCCTTGGTTTAATCAGAGAAAAGGCAAAATTAATATACAAGCATAAAATATGCAAAAAAAAACTTATAGTTCAACACTGCTACCTAGGATCAATATCATATTTGTGCATGCTGTGAGGTTTTTTTTAATAGCTATATATATAATATATAATGTAATCCATGGACAGACTATTTCACTGTTTCACAGCTCATCAGTGTGACTAGACATCAGATTGCCTCAAGCTGGGATCAAAACCCGACCAAAAAGTTCTCGGCATTTTTGTCAAAAAGTAGCGTTTCACTGGAAAATTGTGCACATCTTTTATAATTACCTGATTTCCTATTTTTACATGTTTACATGCAATCCATGGTAAAGAATAAAATAGTTTGAACCTGACTGTTTCAGTAACGAAACCAAAAAACTGATTTAAAACTTCACTGAATAAAACATTATCTCTGCAGCACTCTTTATAACTGTGAAACTGATGGCATATAATCCACACACACATACCTTTTACATTTAATAAAACAATATTATGGAGTTAAATTGGTTAAAAGTACTATCTGGCATCTCTATAAACAATGACCTAGCAAATGTCTCAACTTTACATATAAGGTCAATTGGGCCTCTTTTTTTTTTTTTTCCTCTCCCTTAAGAGAGGAAAGTGCTAGTACCTACTCTCTGGCTTAAAAGCCATTGAATATGATATTTAGGGAATGCAAGCTTAGAATGAAGTTGGTTATAGTCAATTGTCATGCAAAAATCTTTTCTATAATGGAAACAAAATTATAGAAAAGGTAAAGAGGATTCTTGTCTGTCCTAAAACAGAATCTATAGCTAGGTTTGCTGCTAGGAAAATCTGTTCAATGTGTCATGCTAGAAAATTTTATTCAGCAGAATCTATCTTGCATATTTATATGTCTACCATTTGTCTATGCATTAAATATTAATGCTACATCTGGTTTGGTGCATCTGTTATGTATTCTTGATAAAATCCAAAGAATCATCTGCAATGCTGTTGGTCCTGACCTGGTATTTTGGCTTCAGTTGTTTTCCCATCCTCATAAACATAACTTTCCTATACATTTTCTATAAATATTTACTTGGTAATTGTTCTGAGGAACTTTCCTCTTTGGTACTAGACTTAAGCCTACTACTAGATTGGCAGCAAGGTCACATCATTTTACAGTTGAGATGATTAGTTATAACCATAAGTTCTGTGTTAAAAGTTTCTTTGCTCTTCTGGCTTCTTCCAGTCAATTTTGATCTTCAAAAATTTATATGCAATGTCAATTGTTATTTTTTGCCTTCTCAATTCCTATTCTTTTATTGTTCTCTCTCTCACTCTCACTAAGAGTGTTGTTATCTATCCACCCCCTCCTCCATTTTCTCTCACATTCTGTTATCCCTTGCGTGTTAGTGGCTTTATTACTTTGCTTGTGGTGAAATGATTTAAAAAAAAAAATATAGACAGAAGGTTGATGAAGTAACTAATAAAAATGTTTGTAGGTAATTTTTTATGAATATATAACCTTAGGATAAAGGGAATAAAAAATGAATTATTAACCAAATCTGCCACAATTGAGTTTGTAATTAAATGTTACTTACAAGCATTACTTTTAGAACTATCATTCTTTAGATGTGTGTGAGTGCATACACAAACACATGCAAAGAATATGTTCAATTTAAAATGGCAATTCCACAAATAAAGCCTGTATGTTAGTCTTTAAGAATTGTCTAATTAATGAAGTTTTTAAGCAATAAGACAGTGAGAGACAAAGGTTTAACTTCAAGGATATTGACTAAAAGTTCTTCAAATCTAATGCTGTCAGAGTTAATAAAGTTGGTTGGAGTTAACTTATTTCTCTGTATGGTATAATTTTTTTTTTCTTCACCCTGTACAATGCTCAAGAGCCACTCGAGGTAGAGAGTTACAGAGTAAGAGGCACAGTTTATGAGGATGTGGGGAAAATAATGTTTAGCCCTAGACTTAAGATTGTATCAATTGGAGAGTCAGTTCCACAAAGTGGGACTTAGATCTCACTAATTGAATATGAAGTGAATGAGGGTGGTTTTCTACCATGTGTGTGGTAAGGCAGTATGCTTAAAACAGGTGAAACGAAGTCAGGATTTGGACTTAACTGAACTTCAATGGGAGGAGATATTAATGGAAAGTAGGAAACTCAGACTTTCTCTTCACTGTTTCTTCTTTGTTTACCTTCATAGCATGCATGTGCTATGGAGAGTTGACATCATGCTTTTACTTAAAGCAAGATTCTAACCTTTGGGGAAAGGGTCTCTAGAAAAGATTTATCATAACATTTAGCACCCTGCATTATATATGCCTGTTATTTTCACTTTCACTGTTGCACTTTCGTTATTTAAGTTACCATAGAGGGACATGACAACACAACCACAAATTCAAAGCTCATTATCATTTTCCATTATCAAGATTTTTAATAGTTTTTCCTCTTTGAATTCTTTCTTGATTTTTTTTTTTTTTTTTAGACATACTGAAAATTTTCTTTATCTATCCACAGGGGAAATCTTGCTGCAACTCTGGACTTAAAACCCGATCATCCAGCAATTGGTTTTATGGAAACTAACAAGAGTGACACCGATGCATTTTTTCATGAGAGCAAAAAAGAAAAGGATGATTTGTCTTTTGAATTATTAACAACCAATGAAAATCATGGTATTGGTCTTCAGCACAATTCCACAAATGCAGATCTTAATTACAAAGATTCTATTGTTGCTTCAGTTTCTGCTGATTGTCACGACCATGCATCCAACTTGGAGATTGTACAAGAGAACAAAACAAAAGAGATTTTACCCTTAATTGCATCTAATAATCCAAAGAAAAATCCTTCTGTTGAAATAACTGCTAGTGATAGCAACAGTCACATACTTGCAACAAAGTTTTCAAGCTCAGATGAACAAGTTGGTGTTTTGTCTTCTGATGAATTTGATAAACATAAACATCTTGAAGTTTTGAAATATATTGAAACTACAATGGAGAATAAGAGTTTTTCATCTGTAGACATTGCGAGCGAGTCTGACCTTGAGACAAGTTCTTCCTCTTCGGCTCTATCATCTGCGGCAGATAGTAAGGAAGAAGCACCCAGAACATTAGCTGACATGAAATCTAACAATATATTAGACCTGGCTTTATTAAATAAAGACCCTTGCCTAGCAGCACCATTTAAAACTAATGATCATACAGAAATGGAAAGATTAAATGTCAATATGGAAACTACATCCTTTTCAATGATTTCAGCTGTTAACAACCCCATGCCAGATCTGATTGATGAGAGTACAGACTCTAATTCTGAATTGATGTCATCTGTCAAAGATTTTGAGATAGATTCTGCATCTCTTATAATGTCAGATTCATCAGATCCTACGTTAGAAACTAAATTCATATCTCGGTGTGAAAACATAAAAGAGGATTCGTCGTCTACGTCTCAGCTTTCAATTACTCGTTCAGATTATATAACAGAACCTGAAGCTTCACCTGTAAAAGTTGCTTCAAATGAGGGAAGGCATCCCGTCTCTTTAACGCCACAAACAAAAACGAATGATGACCACAAACTTTCTTCTTCTTCATCATCATCATCCTTAAACAATGAAGATTTTGAATCTGTGACATCAGGTGAGGATGTTTCACTTGATAACAATCCAGACCCCATTCTGCCCCCACCACCTTCTATACCTGATTCCTGCAAGGGACCTGAAAATCCGCCTTCAGGAAGTGATATTAGCAAAGTAGTGGTTCCAGAATTGGATAACTCTGTGTTACCCTCAGAAACAGTACATGATAAATTAGATAATAGTGAGTCTCCAGAACAATGTAGTTTTGATCATTGCTCTGATAAAATACAAATTGTTTCAAATAGAAAGGCACAGTCTATTTCTGCATCTACTTCAGATAATATACAGACTACTTCTGTGAGCAATATACAACCCATCACCCCACCAGGAGATATAAACCTCAAAACCAGTCCAGTATCATCTCTTTCAAGTCAAGACCAAGTTATAAAAGCTAAAAAATATCAGACCTGGTAAGCACACCTTTTTTTTTTTTTTTTTTTTTAATTTATTCAAATATGTGATCTCCATTCTGTACATGAAAAAAAAGTCTTTAATTTACAAGTCAAACCAAGTTATTTTTTTTTTTTTTTTTTTTTTTTTAAATGTAAATGTTCACCCAAGAACCACTCAAGTAGAGGGTTACTGAATGAGAAGTGTGATGTGAAAGTAAGAGGAACTAGGAAGTGAAAATATGAAGGATACATAATTGAAAACATTCCCATATTTGTGCAAAGGGGATCTTCCCTCATTTCTAGCTAGAGTTTGGTAGCTCTACTGGTGGATGGCTTAACACTAACTCCTCACTGCACCAAAAGGGGCAGGGATCATGGTTGATTTCTGATGTGTTGCAAAGAGAAGTGTCAAAAAGAGCTAGGTGGAGGAAATACACACACATATACTTGCTACTTTTTGTGCATTGGGGTTCTAGTGTGTGGTTGGTTAAATACTTGCATCTCCACGTTATATGGAACATGTTTTGTTTTGTTTTTTTTAAATGGTCTTATCAGAAAATGCCTACAATTCTTAGTAAAAAAAAAAAATAAAAAAATTGCAGTTAGGGAAGGGAATAGTTGCAGTCTGGGAGTTGATGCCAAGGTGAGTTGCATTCTGCTATTTAGATGTCTCAAAAGGTTTGCATTGATCAGACAAAAATGTAATTATCTGAAACCTGTTCAAAAAATCTAGAGGCATTTTGAATATCTTGGGGTCTAGTTGTATGGTTCTGATATGACTTGGCAACCAATCCAAAGGGCACCTTTCTTTGCATGCATGAAGACCCTCTCCTATAGGGTTACTCAGTCATCTATGAGATGCTATTGTTTGTATTCCATGTGTCCATGACAATGTGTCTGTCCATCTTTGTGATTTATGTCGGGATTTTTAATAAAACATATTCAGGTATGGCAGCTCAACTACAATCCAGATTTGTCTTCCTATAACTTCTGGGATTTTGGGGATATAGAGTTGAAACACTGGTTCATCTATAATCACTGAAGTTAAGCAATGTTTAGCTTTGTCGGTACCTAGATGGATTGCCACTTGGAAATACCAGATGCTGGATGTGCAGGTGATATGATAATGGCTCAAAATTATTAATCAAAGATCCAAATTTCAGTTGGGTTATGTGCAAATACTACTGAGAAATGTATGAATCCACCTCTTCTCCCCAAGTTATGGGTTAATTAATAAGACTTGTATCACTAAATCATTATCTCTATGCAAAAATTCTTAGAATCTAAAAATATTTTCTGGCTTTAAATAAGCTGCAAATGACTGATAAGCTATAAAAAATGATCAATTGATAAATCAAATGTAACTTCTGACTGCAGCCAAATCTAAAATTGCCATTGAAAAGGAGATTCCAGACAGTGGGCAAGATTAAAGAAAACCTGACGAGGCAGCTGGTGGCAATCTCAGGAGAGGATTTTTCAGATTGTTTTGGAAAGTGGATAGGACGTGGAGGGTGTGTAACTTAAGCGGAGTCTTTCAATTAAAGAAGCTAGTAAACAAAAGTTCTATATTGGGAAATTTTCATAAGAAAATTTTCACATCTTAGTGTTCTTATGTTCTCATTAAAATTATCTCTTGCCCTTGTTTTATGCAATTTAAAAATATCAGAAAGTTTCTGTAAAAATTTCAGGGGTACCAAAGAAAAAAAATATTAACATCAACTTTGTAAATGTTTAACTTGCTGTTAGAGAAGGTAGCTAAGGTTGTATGTCAACTTTAAAAAAAAAAAAAAGCCTTCAGTGCCATTCTTCCAAGAAAAAAAAAAAAATTGTAATAGTTCTACAACAGTTTTTTTTCTTTCAGTTTCAGAGGAAAATGCCTGAATGTTAGAGATCATGCAGTGGAATGTATTCGAGGCAGAAGGTAAACTTGATTTCAAAGCATTTGTCTTAATTTTGATATTGTTTTACCACTGTTCTCAATGGCTCTGCCTTTTCTTTAATATTTTAACCTACAGCTTTCAAGCCAATCTTAAACTTTTGTTCCCCCAAAATCCATGATGAAATCATCAAAATAATAATTATATGAGCTTTAAAAGACAGTATTTGTTGAGGTCATAACTCCAAAATAGGTGAATAGTTATCTAGACATGTGCATCATGTTAGTTTTTTTTTTTTTTTTTTTAACTTAGTTTACCTAATAATTCTTTAAAAATAAAAAAAAATTAAAAAAAGGAATTAATTTACAACACTTTAATGATTTCCAAACCAATTCTGAATACTTTTTAGATAAAATCTCAATTTAAATAAATCTGTTAACGTTAGTTTGTTGTATATGTGACTTATTCTTTGAGTTGGTAAAAGTTATAATATGGGGAAAAGATTTTAATAAATTGTTCTCAGGGTGGATGGAATGTCACTTTTTTGCCATGAATATAGTGTGCCATTGATATATTGTGGGGGGACTTTTGTAACTCCTGACAACTTCAGCTCTACACCCAAATCAAGTACACTTGACGTGTTTACTGATCATTTATGCATTTTGGTTCTCAGCTGAACAGAAGTGTTATAAAAGTGACACTAAAGGTGAGTCGTTTTCATTCCATTATCCAAGTTTCCCCATTCAGGTTTCAGTATCAAAATGAAGAAAAAAGAAAAAGAATTCAGCTTACTTTGTACTTGAGTTGCTTCTGGATCAGAAATATTTTAGGAAAAGTTTATTATGCATTTCTGTTTATTAACCCATTGTGGCAAAAAATTCTATAATTTCAAGTTGTCATAGAATATAGTCATCTGCAATTAATGATTTCATTTTATGTTGTGGAAACATGAAAAGAAGAGTCAGTGTATGACGTTTTTGTTTTAAATCAAATTACATGAAAAATATTTTAATTGGTGTTAATAATTAATTTTACTCGATATTTTGATTTTACTTAAATCTAAAAGAATTGGCATTTTAAATTCATTAAAAAAAATTTTGATCTTAATCCTGTTGTAGATGTTGTTAGGAGTAGAATGATATCCAGGTTTGTGCAAAAACAGGAAATTTCAATGATACTGGTTCTTGCTAGAATACAAAAATCTCTTGCTGATTTTTAACCTGAAAAAAAAAAATGGAAAACCTGATTGGTTATAAATTAGAATTTATTCAAAATTTTTATTCATTCTTGCTGGAAGTTGTATGTTAATCCTTATTCACAAAGACCAGATTTTGTCTGTTTCATTTTTGTGTTTGAAATTTTCTCATCTAACTGCTACTTTAGCCATGCTGTCTGTTCTAGGTTATGTTTATATGGTTAATTCACTACACTGTCATTATAATAATCTTTGATAACTTTCCTATTTCAGCATTTTAGAAAAACTTGGAGTCAATAAGATAAACAAAATGACTGAAGACAATTACAAAGTATGTATAATTCAAAATTATTACAAGATATTTCATCAAAGTTCGAATGTTTTCATACCAAAAAAAAAAAAGAAACATTTTTCTATATAACAATATAATCTCTTGTTAATTTTATTTATGAAGATTGTTTAAAATATTAACCGTATATCTTTCTATTTTATTTTTATTTGTTTTGTTTTTTTCCAGCAGTCTATCAGTACAGAATCAATCTTATTAAATGATTCAGTCTTGTTTGTGGCTGAAAAAATCCCTAATCCTATTTATAACTTGCAAGATTTTAAAGTGCCTGAAGTCCTTTCCAAGGTAAGTGCAAAGAAATTTTTCTTACATCATCTCTTTTGCTGATTTTTCATCATTTATTGAAAAAAATGTATTTCTCATTAAAAATGAAAACAGAATTATCATTCACAGCAGCTTGGGATGAAGTCACAAGATAACTATTTACATCTTACTTATTATAAAATGCAGATTGTGTGTGTGTGTGTGTGTCTGTAACGTTTATATATTGGATTGGGTTTCCTACATTTTTTAACCGATTTCAACAAAACTTCAAAGGACTACATAAAATTACTTTGTGGTGGTTCTAACGGCACCAATAATGGGAAAAACACAAGTGTTTTTTTAACAAAATCAATTTGAAAACACAATTAAGACACATTGTGAGAATGAAAGGTGGACAACTCACATCGGGTTAAAAAAACCCAGGTTGTTTGTGTGTGTTCCTTTATATATGGGATCGGATTTCTTACATTTTTCAGCCGATAAAACAAACATCCACTTTTTTTTTGGCAGGTAGTGTTTCTTATTGTTTTGCACACTTTTTTCTTTATTTATACATTCAGAATGCTTTAAATATTCCATTTACAAGACAATTATTTATAATAAAATTATAATTCTATTCAATCAGGGGACCCATCATAACGATTGAAAACAATGTTTTTATTTGAGTTTGGGTTTGACCAATTCATAAAAAAAAAAAAAAAAAAAAAAACTAAGACATGCATGTCCGTCAACCTAAACAATAATCTAACGATCTCTACTGATTGTACGAATCGAAAAAATCGGATAATTCTTTATCTTCAGGGAAAGATAATTCCACGTACTTTAGGGCCGTTTTACAATTCCCTTTGCAATTTGTTACAAAGGCAGATCAATAAGGCATTGGTTCTATTTGAAATTAATTCAATATTTAAAAGAAAGTATTAAGAAATAATTTAAAAATGCCGACGTAAGAAATCTGATAGACAAAAAACAACAATATTTTCAAGATGATAATTATTAGGAAAAGAACACAGTACTTGTAATAAATTAATAAACCCAAATAAAGTTAATATTTTTGTATTAGAAAACGAGTGGAAAATATATTCAAATCAGAATTCTAATTATGAATCACCACAAGCAAAATATGCAATTTTTTTTACTGTATTCAAAAAGTAAAAATTATAAATTGTAAAACTGAAAGATTACAGAAAGGCTACCTACATTTTTCAACCGATTTCAACAAAACTTCACTTTTTTTTTTTTTTTTTTTTTTAGTGTTTTTTATTGTCTTGCACATTTTTTTTTTTTTTTACATTCAGAATGCTTTAAAAATTCCATTTACAAGACAATTGTTTATAATGAAATTCTATTCATCAATCACTAGACTCATAACGATTGTAAACAATGTTTTTGTTTGGGTTTGACCAATTCATAAAAAAAACAAAACAAAAAAAAAAAAAAACTAATTAAGACATGCGTGTACGTCAACCTTAAACAATAATCTTTGTCAATTTTATTTTTCAGTCTTTATGATGGTCGATACTTGATCTATCTCTTACTGTTACATCCCCGGGCAACGCCGGGCTCTACTGCTAGTCATTGAATAAATTTCAAGTTGAAGTTAGGATGAATTCTTAATTTCGTGTCAGCTTGGAATGAATTAGCACTGTACACTCTTTCTATCTAATCATATTCAGTTTCTGATTTGTTTTTGGAATGATACACTGCCATTATTCTTTGAATTGTTCAGAATAGTATCTTTGTGGTAAACACAACAAAAATGGGGATACTTGTCTGAATAAATCTTTTATAGATTCTAAAATATTTAGAAATGTCAACCTAAATAAAGAATAGGGAAAAACAAACTGTTGAAAGTTGTGATGGTTACTCTAATTATTGGTTTTCATGTAGTCATTTATTCCACATATAATTTTTAATTTGACTGGTTGGAATAGATTAGTTATTTGAATATTTAAAACATTGTTTTAGAGAACCACAATGATTATTTATATATGAAAAAGTTGTGACAAGATACAAATCTTATTTAAAACATGGCATTAGAATTAATGAATAACAACTTTTGTTATCTAACCAACCAATCATTCTCAGCACCATGTTTGCTGGCTCGCTCACAACTTGATGTTCACCCTACCAATCATCTACCAGTTTGACCAACCTTCTTTTTTCTTTTTTTTTTTTTTTTTTTTTTTTTTTTTTTTTTTTTTTCCCCCTTCTTTAATTTTTTCTTGTTTGGTTCATAATGTGAGACTCATGTGATTGTTATTTTTCAATTTTGAATTTGGCTTTTTTTTTTTTTTTTTTTTTTTTTTTTCTGTACCTTTCCTATGATATTTTTAATTTAAAAATGTCATATCCTGCTATATTTATCACTTATTGTAAAACTCTTATTGTGACAATGTTAAGTTGGTTATAAAGTTAGTTATTTTCCCAGAATCACTCGCTAAACTTTAATATTGTTTGTGGTCTTTTGTTGGAAGAAAAATCGAAATATCAGTTGCTTAAATGGGTGTGATTCAGTTTTAGTAACGGGTAAAGAATATTTTTCAGTAAGAGTTATTTCCCTTGATTCTAGTACTAAAATGTTACACGATTTAATACTTAGTTTCAATGCTTATTTTCAGTACTTTTATACATTTTTCAATTGTTTTGCTTTAAATTTTTACTTATGCATTTTTAACTTGAAAGCCAATTGCAGAAAAGGCAACTTCATTGTATATTTTAAGTATTTGATTATTTACTACCTGTGTAATTTTGGCTCTTTTATGACTTTCTACCTTATATAAAACCATGTATAAATTTTACAATGTATAAACTGTTGTGCCATGGAGTTTTTTTTTTTTTTTTTTAATTTGCCTTTAATTCTACAAACAACCACAAACAAATTGATATTTGAAAATAGTTTATATCTTTTTTTTCATTTGCAGTTAATTGAAAATCTGAGGATCCAGCCCAAACCCATCCAAGCTTATTCATGGGGTCCAGCTATACGAGGAAAGAATATGATTGGCATCTCTCCATCAGGTTCCGGAAAGACTTGGGCCTATACTGTCCCTATTGTTGCCTCTCTCTGTCAGTACACTATCTATTCAGATATTAAATTCAGCAATGGCGTAAGTTTCAGGCTTATTTGTATTATAATGTAAAATCATTAGTAAAACAATTTTAATGTATAAAATTTAATAATTAGCATAGTACCTGTCAAAAATAATATGTATATGTATTTGGCAATGATCACTGTAGTATTAAGTGATCTGTAGAAAATGTTTATACAAGGGGTGCTGAAAAGTTCTTAGCCCGACTGATTTTGTGTGTGTGTGTGTGTGTGTACACACATTTTTGTGTGTTGGTTAATTAACATTGTCCATAAAGCAATTTTAAGAGATGAAAGATAAAGGTGACTCCAAAAAATTCAGTTGATAAACATGTCATCAAAATGTTTGTTAATATAAGTTTTGATTGAATACGTCTTGATGTGAATAAACACTGAAATATTAATAACATTATGCACAACACATATTAGAATACTTACAACTATTTCTTTCCACAGTTATTTTTGTCCATTATGTTCCCATTTTCTTCACAAACAAATTACAAATTTCTACTATAAGACTACAAAAGACAAGTCTTGTTTGCAACAGTTTTATAAATGTTAATAGGAAATAAGTCCTAATAAAAACCTTGTTTTTACTCTCTGCAGTGATAATTTGTTACAAGAAATTTGTAAATGAAGTCATTGAAAAAAAAATAATGTACCTTGAAAGTCAAATGGCTCCTATTTAAATAGCTGATAATATTTTGATGTTCATTTATTTTTGTACAGTGGAATTAGGTTAAGTGTTTAAAATCTAATAAGCAGGTTTATTTCAAAGAAATATTTGGAAGAAGCTTGGTTAGAATGATGCTAGCCACTACAACTAGACATTTGAGTTTTATTCAAAAGGAAGGGTAAAAAATGTCAAATTTGTTTTTCCTTCCTTTGGATATGATGGAAGAGTAATGGGCAAGTTGAGAAAAATTGTTTCTTAGAATCATGAAGCTTATGTCTTCAATAAGAGACATGTTCACTGAAAAATCTTTAGAAGGTGGCTTAAGGACAGGTAAGAAAAGGAAAGTGTTGTTTTTTTTCTCAACTATTTATATATATGGATCAATGATGCATTGTGGGTAGTCTATTCTAAGGGTTATTTTGGTAGTAGTGCTTTGTTGATTTGTTTATTATTTACTTTATTTATTTGAATTAATTTATTTTGCTTGTTTTTGCTTATTTATTTTTATTTTAATTATTTTTATTCTTTTCAATTTTTGATTTTTAAGTAATGTAGTAAAAATTTATTTTTGTGTCTGCATTTTGAGATATGTTCTGATCGTTTATTTAGTAGCATGTTTTGGTCTGGGAAGGTAATTATAGCTACTTTTTCCTCCAAGCAGAGTTTTTGGATTGATTGGTGTAGGTTGATATTCTTTTCCTTATTTTGCTTGATATTTTTGGTGTGATTTGCTTTTTGTTTTTAATTTCCCAGATATACTTAGAAAGCATTGTGCTGTTTGTGTATTTACTATTTGTGAAAGATGCTTTGTATGTGTAGTTCTTTGTTCCCAGGGTCATTCAGTTACTCCTATCTATATTTTTTCTTTGTTATCTCATGATTTTACCATAACTTGGTATATTACATTGTTTTGTAAGCATTTACCATTTAAGGGACATTCATTCTTTATTCTGCAGTTACACGTGGGTTTAATTTTTTGTTCGAGTGGTTGATAGTTTTCTTGTTGTGCTTTGTTATTATTTGTGTCATGTTCTTGGTGCAACTGTAGCTGATTTTTACTGTGTTTTTGTTGAATATTTTGTGGAAAGTGCTTGATTCAGGGAAGTGTTCATGTAAGAGTTTGAATATATTTCCTATGTTTGTTTTTAAGTTTTTATTGTATGTTTCTCTTCCTTTTTTTTTTTTTCTTTCTTTTTTTCCTTCCTCTGTGGTGTGAGTGTTGCCAGGAATCCACTATGTTTTAGGTCTGTTTTATAGTCTTTCTTAGCTTCATTGAATATGGTTTCATTGATTTTAGTATCTGCTTGATTATAGATGGTGGGTGATTGAAGATGTGTGTATTTACAGTGGTTTATCGTTGGGTTTTTTCATGGTTTATATGTATCTTTTCTTAGGTTGAAGGTGACATTTAAAAAAGCTACTTTGTTTACTTTTTTTTTTATATATATATATATATATATAGTTCTTTTATTTGACTTCCTGTCAGTATTAGACTGGTCAAGTGTCATAATGAGAAGGAAGACACCCTCCAATTTTAAATATTCAAGGCAACATAGACATGTATATAAAAAGCAGTACAACAGTCATAATAATATTTACATATCTACCATCTTTCCAAATTTTAATCAATGTAGAAAATTAACATGCCTAATTAGTTTTTCTCATTTGTAACTTTTTATTTATTTATTTTTTTCCAGCCTTTTGCCCTTATTCTTGTGCCATCTTGGAGAAAAGCTATTTCAGTTTATGAACAATGCAAATGTATAAGTCAAAGTAATAGAGAAATTATTGTGGAATTAGTGTATGGAGGGGGAGAAGAAAACAAAAAAACAGTAAGTATCAAGTGTTTTCTTGTACAATAAATGAAATCTTATCACTAATACAGGTTTATATCAAATAAACTATTGATATTCTATAAATAATTACAATGTTATTTATCAACGAGTTAATGTCTATATTTTTTTTTACAAGGTTATTTTTCTTGCTTGGTACATAATTTGTAAAGCTGAATAGACAATTGCTGGAAAGCTGTTATTAACCCAAATGCTGCATATTTTAAAGAGAAAAGTGTGTCTGTTTAATTACTAGAATTTCTTTTAATTTCTCTATGATGTACAGAAAAATAATTGCTTCGAAAAATATTTATCGTATGGAAGTGTCTGCTTCGTTTTTCAAAACATTACATAAACATCCCCATTCCAACCAAAAGTTTTACCAGAAATTAGCCTTAATAAATAATTTTTCACAGTTTAGAATACTATTAATAATGATGATAATTTATTATCAATTTTGGTGTATCCTGGGTAAGACGATAAAGTACGTCCAACAGCAAGACCTCTGATCAGGTTTTCAGGAGCATGGAACCACCTCTGGTGTTCCCAGGTCCACCCTGACCCAGGGTGGTAGCACCTGTTAGAGTCCCAGTTATGGGCAAATAGTTGACTCCCCAAACTTGAGTCAAAACACTATGAAAGAGTAAAAATGGGTTTTAATCCAAAAAAAATTGAATACAAAGATTTAATATATATCAATAATCTAATGTCAATTTTAGAATTTTTAACTTTAATTTTTAATAGCATATATGTTGCTTGAATTTCCTCTCTCTTTCTCTCAGCTTGGTTTTCACTTTGATTTTTGAAACTTACAGAAGCATTTTTTTTTAATTTTATTTTTATGTTTTTTTTAAACTTGCTCAAATATTGTAGAGTAAGTGGCTCTGGTTGAATGTAAATAGCAGAATTGCCCAAGTTTATACTAAACAATAAGAGGAGGGCACAAAATAATATTGAGCAAGCAAACGATATATGCAAGGCAAAGCAACAGTAATAAGGAAAAAAGTTCACAAACTAAGAATTGATTTTGACACAAGAGCAAATTCAGATTAATGAACATAGCATTCTGACTTCAAGACAAGACAGACCTGGACCAGGTCAGATGAGAAGTGGCCTATCTTATTGGCTAGGAAGAAATCCCAGCATGCACTTGTGTAGGCAATATGTAAAATTGAGGAAAAGAAATGGTTTTGCAATCATTCCCCCATTGGGATTAGAGCCAAGAATGATGCTTTGTAAAAAAATGTAATAGTCATGAATATGCTGACTTCCATCAATATGTCCAAAAAATGTTTGAAAAATTTTGAATGATGGAAACACAATCCACAATTGATGTTAGGTATTGACTGTAAAGGTGTATTTGAAGGTAAATTTTTTTGAAAGTAATGCATTTGTAATGAAACACTCAAAACCCCTAAACTTGTCTTGAAATGTTTGGTCAAGGTATTGAATAAGTTCCTTGTTGTCACAAAGCATTAGTTGTGTGACTTTTTGGAAAGAGGGATTTTTGGAAGGGAAGTTGATCAAGAGACAAGAGCTGCTCTGAGAAGCTGCCCTCTACCAAATCTTACAGGAGAGCATGTATTTGGAGATTTGGACTTTAGCATGCAAACAAAGTGATATGCATTGCTACACAATGGTTGACATAGAATATGCTCAAGTGTAATTGGATGACATCTTGACTGGAAGGAAAACCAGCAACTGATCTACAATTGGCATTTAGCATGTCAAGAAAACATGCTAAAAGACTGCAACAAAGACACAAGGAACAAGAATTCCTTATGAAACTTTGTGTACAGGCAAAAATTACCAAAAATGAAATAGAGAAAAAAAGAAAAAGAATGTAAAGTTGCTGTTGAAAAAAAATACAATTATAAACTCAGTCCTCTAACAGGGGGTCCTTTAAATACAGCTAAAAATGTGTCACAAGTGTCAGTTGGTGGCCTTGAAGCTCTAAAGGATCAACTGAAATATTTAAAGGTTGTCTTGGAGATAAAAATTAAAACCAGTGGAAGAAAAGGTCAGCTGGAATCTGCTCTCATAAACTACTTAAATCCAAGCAAGATAAATTCACTGCTAATGCAACTGGACAATGAAAATCTTCTTCCCAGAAGCTGATTGGAAATAGCATTCTTTTCCTTACCTGTGACAAGGCAGTAAATTCACTCAACTCCTTGGAAAGATTAATGGCTGTAGAGAGCAGTGTGTCAGAATCTTCAGAAGCAATCTCTGTAAAACCAAGACTGACCACAGTTCCACCACTCAGTGTCACCCACTGACCAAGATTATACTGCTTCTGCCTACTCATCTCATCTGTATGGAGTGTTACAGTGGGTGATTGAAGGATCTGTTCAGTTGCCTGGAGTTTTGAAAGAAAGTGTACTTCATCACTAATGTTTTATATTGATGCTGAAGGCAGATCATTTATTTGCTCTCCAAAATGGTTGTGGACTACAATCCTTATATCATTAGATATAAGATTCAAATCTTTTTGTTTGTTCTCTCTTACCTCTGTAAATAATGGCCTGCTTGTTATTACAGTATTAAAGTTAATCTTGAATATTCAACAATGTAATAAGGGGAATTTTTGTAGCTATTTTATAAACTAGGAAAGAGTTTAAATTAGTAATTATGATTCATGCAGAAATTCAAATCTGAAAAACCATGAGATTTTCAGGGGTACTACTAGTTTATATAAATTTGCTGTAAGCTTTGTTTATCCTATTATCTTACTTTTTGCTATCTTTGATCCATAGAGGAATCATTTTTCAGCATTTGCCCCCACCACCAATCTTGGTTTCTTGTCTTGACTTCATCAGTTTCTATGTGGCAATGTGTTTGTGTAATCTCATGAAAGTATCCAAACAATAACAATATGTAAAATTTCTTGAAAAAAAAAAATTTTTTTTTTGTATGATCAATATGTAAAGAATCACCAAATAAATTGAATTTTGTAAGCGTGTAGAAACAAATTCGATGTAATGCTGTCGAGAAGTTCAATTCCTGTACATGATGACAAATAAAGGTGTCTAGATTTTCAGCCACATTCTCATGCAAGCATGCAATAGTGTTTTCATGTCTGCCATCAACCTAGTTTGTTTGGATTTACGAATAGTTTTTCCAATTGCATTCTCAGTTGGTTGATTATGTTGACCAAAAAATCATGAAGTGCACGAAATGCATTTCTGTTTGAACGTCCATTTTCATAATAGGCTTTGATAAATTTAACATGTTTGATTGTTAATCTTTCCATCATTGAAATTGCCAAAGACTTGTTAAATTTGAAAGAGAAAAAAAATAAATCATTAGATGCTTAAACTTAATTCACATTTAAAATCAGTCCAAGTTATTGGAACACCCTTTATATGTAAATATTTATTAAGAGATTTTGTTTTGTTGTTTACTATGGCTTTGTTTTGATTCCAGGTTACTTTACTGAATGGCTGTCATATTCTTGTTGCAACATTGCCTTGTTTCCTGAGAATGTGGGAATCCAAATTCACAAATTTGGATCGATTGTGTCATTTAGTAAGTTGATTTTTACACTTGTCATTTTCTTTGCATCATTGATTTTTATGATACTCATTGGTATCAGCTTTTCTCTCACATCCATCCTTTTATTCTTATTGCTTTCTTTTCTAGTCTCTGGCTGCAGCTGGAAATTAGATTGAATGAAAAATATATATTCAATTTTTATATATATATTAGTTAATAATTTTGTTAAATAATTTTAATAGGTTAGTCTAATATTTGTATTTTGTTATAACTTTATTTACAAGAATCACTTTTCATTGTGGTGTAACAATAGTTATAAAAATGCTGGTCAAACTCTGCATACTTTTGTTTATTGCTTCTAACATTACAGATTGATGAAGATAACGAACATTTTAAGTAAATTATGCTTTTTATTTTAAAAAAGATAAAAACATGACACCAGAATTTTAAAAGAAAATTGGGCAGTTTACATTTAAGACCCACCATGCCACATATCCTCATCATCCTCATTCCCTTTGTATTCCATTTGTAAGGAGGAAGTTTCAGTTCCTTCCCAAGAATTGCTACTTTGTGGAACAGACTCCTGACAGGATGCTTCACCAATCACTTACAATCAACTTCAAGTTTGAAGTCACTTGTTATCTACACATAGCAACCTCATTCAGTGACTCTTTGGTGAACAACAGTTAATAAAAAAAAAATGTTTATGGAGAAGTTACCGAAACATGACAAAAGTGATTTGCAAAGTTTAGTACTGTAGACTTTTTGCATGCTGATGTCATACAATCAGATAGACCATTTGGCTGAGGTTAATAATAAGCAAATCAAGATATTTCAACATTGTATGATGCAGTAACTAATCAAGAAATGTAAAATATCCAAAGCAAGTGTTTAAATTCATTTGTGACAACTTAGTTATAGTAGTCACTTTGATGTGTGACATCACAAAAATGTGCTGATTTTTAAACAGATTGTAATAGGTGATGAAAAGTAGTAGTTTTACAACATGAAATATAAAAAAATAACACTGTGTATGTCATTGAAGTGGATAGTTCAATGCTATGAGCTTGTGAAATAAACACTTGCTTTAAAGTAGTACTGCTCCCAATTAAACTAGTAAGCAATAAAAAAAAAAAACAAAAAAAAACATCCAGAATTAAATGAAAAGGTATAATATTTGATCAGGATAACAAGACTGCTTTTATTTCTTTCATGATTAGGCAAACATTACAGCTTGCCTGGAAAGTTATGACTTTTTGGCTGCTTTCACCAGATATTGCCTCTTATTCTGATCTTTACAGAATTGTCTTTATAAATAATAATAATAATTAATTTCTCTGGAAGACTGCAAAAACATGTAAAGCAGTTTTTTTTTTTTTTTTTAAATTTCCGAGGAGGTAGAATTATGAATTTGTTTGAAAGGTGACTAAAGGCAGTGAAACAAAACTAAATATCTTTATTCAATAATGTTGAAAAAAAGATTTTAAAATGTTCTTATTTCTACTTGAACCAAACTTTTTGGTTTACCTACTAATAATTTAGTTTGTGTCTAAAAAAAAAAAAAAATAAAAAATAAAAAAAAGTAATAAATATTTTGATACTAAAGAATATTTTCAAATTGATTGTATTCATGTCTGTCTTTACAAAATGTTTGATTTTTGTTTTGTTTTTTAAAGATTATCGATGATGCTGATATTTTGCTACAAGATTTTTACAAAGAGGTAAGTCTTTAATAAATGTTATTAAAAACTGAATAAAAACAATGGAAAGAAATGTACAGATTTGCACTAACTCAAATGAAATATTAGAAAATCTGTCTTAATTTGTAGTTTTATGAAAGAATATCTTATTAAATATTTATATTTGGTGATATATGACCCATATAGAAATTGATATGGCAATTAAAATTCAACATCTTAAAAAAGAAATTTTGACTCATTCAGCTTTAGTGCTGAAAATGTTTATTTTATTGTGATGGATGGTTACAAACGAAAAGGGAGATGGGAGGTGCTTATTTTATTACCACATAATGCTTAGGTATTTTCTTGTATTCAAATGTAGTTTTTTCATGGTTACAAAATTTAGTAAATGTAATTTCTAAGTCAATCATGCAGGGGGCCTATTGTGTCACAGAATTATAATTGTGATAGTCTAAAAAAAAATTTTATTTTTTAATTGCCTGTTTCTTCTCTCTTGGCAGATTGTGGATTTGATGTGCAAATACAAGAGCTTGGTAGAGTCTCGAGACAAAAACTATCAACGCCATCAGGTGATGGCCTACAGTTCCAAGTGGACATCATATATCAAGGGGTTTGTGAAGAATGCTGTTCATGACCCTGCTATTGTTATCACAGATATGATGGAAGCTGCTGTCTATGGTTGTGTGAAACAAGTAAGTCTGAAATACACAAACAAATCAGTTGAGCAAAAGATATCTTTACTAAGTTTAGCTTTAGTAACAATGTTAGGAAAGACAAGTTGGAAGATTGTCTTGTGTCAATTATTCAGCTGAGCTTGGCATGCCAACTTGCCTTCAAAGCCAGCAATTGAAATCTTGGCTTTTACTTGAGCTTGAAACCCAACTACTGGCACCAGGAAATATATAATGACCTTCATATCAAGCCTAGATGAGGTTGCACTCTCTCATGTATACAATGGGGAGCTGAAAACTTATCAGCTTCACCCAATCAGCAGGCTGGTTGTGTTTATAGCTCCAAGTTCACTACAGCAATGGGACAATGGCCTAGTGGATAAGTGTTGGTTTGTGGATTTGGTGACATAGTAGTTGCGAGTTCAATCCCTGTTTTAAGCAGTGGAAAATAACTGAACATTACTAAATAAAATAAGGGCTAATATGCACCTGAAGAAGGCCAGAGAGCACAACAGCCGAAACATAACAGCAACAAAGCTAAGAACAATAGTTTAAATGTAAATAATGATTACTTCTCATACCAAAAATTCAGACAGAAAAGGCATTATAATCTCTTGTCATACCAAACTGATGACTTAGCACTTTGCTAAATAGGGACTTTAAACTCAGCAAAATATGATTTTTCAAATGTTTAAGGGAGTTCCTATGCATTCATTTTTTTTAATTTTTTTTTAGATTCCAATTATGTGTGAAGAGTCTAGCCGAAAGGACCAGTTGGTAAAGCTTGTTCCACAAATTATAAAACAAGGTGAAAAGGTCATAATTTTTACCCAGGATAATGAATGTTATGCATTGAAAAATGTAAGTGTACTTATTTTTAACTGTACTTATTTTTGGAATCGGTATCAAGATTCAAAGACAAATTTTGTCTGTACTTTTTAGAATGTCACATGAATCACCTGAGACTCTAACAATGAACAAAATAGCCAAACCAAGATTTCAGAATTGTTAAACTATTACGAAAATACTACCTTCTTTTAAAAACAAATCAGTTGGTAATGATAATAAAATAAAAAGTCATTATTGAAATCTTTTTTTTTCCCTCTCCACAGATATGTTTCTCTACATTGGGTGTAATGCTATTGTAGAACTTTTTCATGATCATTTTCCAGACTTACACATGATATTTTCCCTTCCTGATTGAGTGATGATAATCTTCATGTTACACAAATATTTAGACCTCATTTGAAAGTCAAAGTGTCCAATTTTGTAAGCCTCAATCAGTTTTCTCACATATCTTTCACTTTGCTTTTGTAGTCATCAAATCAGATGATTTTCACTTGTGGCATCTGTATGGCATCATAGCTAATTAGGGAATTGGAATAAACATTTGGTCAGCAATGTGATAATTACTATATTCATACTGACGATTTGGTCTTTCTGAATAGCACACTTAATTTCATAAGGAAAAATAAGATTTCTTAAAATTTTGTTTTCACTTGTTCACTCACACGTTCTGTCATACATAACTGTATATGAGAGAGTTAATTGATTTTTGAAACTTTCAGGGAAAATAAAGTTTTCATCATTTTAAATCCTTGACAATTTTCACTAAGGAAGATCATGTGTATAAACATTTTTTGCTTTTGAAAATGGAAACATAATTTAATCTGCAGAAAAAATATCCTTTTTTTTTTTTATTTTTAAATGAATAAATTAGAAATAAATCACATGCAGCAATATGTGTTAATTACACTGTCATCCATGATATTATACTAAGACTTCAATTTTTAATTCTAGGAAAATCTTTTCTCAAAAAAAAAAATTTCCCCATTTCTAAGGTATATTTTTACCTGTATGGTCTTCTGTAGTGAAAGCAGCTGAGATAGTTACCATGAAAAATTATCTTGAATCTTTTTAGTAGTGCAACCTGCTTTGTGATGAGCCATTGATCATGTGGCCCACTGCTTTAAAAAGGTTGCCCGTGACTGATTTAGTTCTTTTTCTACATCCTAAAAAGGCTTTTTAGGAAGAATACAAAAGTATGAAAGTTACTTGTTACAATTGGTATAAATAGAAAGAAAAAAAGAACTTATGACCAATATGAAATTATAGTATAATATCCAATGGTATACATATTCACTTTAGTTCACATGATTGACAAAAGATTAAATCACCTGTAATCTCATATAAAATCATTTGAAAATCTTTAGACAACTTATTGGTCAATGCATAAGTTTTAAGTACATCAAGAGGAAAATATTTCCTCTTTATTTACTTTGGGTTTCAAATGGAAATTGGTTGAACACATTTATCAAAATAACAAACTTTTATTTCAATCTCCTTTTTATAGTTGTTGAGTGAACTCCTGCAAAATCCTGTTGCTGTGGCATGTGACACAATGAACAAATTTGAAAGGGAAATCATCTCTACAGATTGGAAATTGCCTTTTTCTGAAAAAGAATCCTATCGAATTTTAGGCAAGTATGCTCTCCATTTATCTACACCTGAAAATTTTTTATTTAAAGTTATTTTGTGTTGCGTACTGCCACCAATTACTCTTTGATGTTTTTATATGAAATTTCATTAATATCATTTTAATTCACAACTTCCTTCTTTTATATGCTGTGTCCCTTCAGGGCATTGGTAATCATGTCTCTTCACAATTTTTGACCTTTGTAGCCCTTAATAAATTTTGTTATCTCTTCTAAACCCCATTCTGCCATCCATTTACTCATGCCCACTAGGGTAGGTTATGTGTTGTTTCCCCTCTATCCCTTTTTGCATTCACTTGTGAGTATCAAATTTTTCCAAGCCTGCCTCCTTCATCATATGCCCCAGAAATCTCACATCAATAATTAGAGTTGGCATCTCAGTGATGTTTAATCTCATAGATGATACTAAAGAGACTTGTTAGAGTAAGAAAGACATTAAACTTTGGAGTATCATTTTTGCCTGGCTGTTCCTAAATCCAGTAAGAGATATGATAAATGATAGTATTTTATAGCAAGGAAAAGAGATTTACTTGAAATTTAGTTTGAGTAATAAGGAAATTATAACTCCCATGAGTTATGAAAGTATTTTGATGAAAATCTGTTTAAAAATTGTCTTTTAAAATAGAGTAAATTTTCAGCATTTTTGTTTTTCATTTATGCCACATCCCTTCAGGAAGTAGAAAATCATGGATCTTGATAGATTTCTTTTCTTTGTTATTTGTAACCTACCATACCATCTTGGGAAAGGATAGTTCAGATTGGTCCTTCTCTTAGACTGGTTTCCACCAAGGCTAAAGAGCTTGGTCTACTCTGTTATTTAAATTATAGATTCATGCTTTTCCCAAGGTAACAAAGTCGGACAGACTTTGAACTTGGCTCACCAACAACAGTTGCACCACCCCAACATCATTATGTAGTTTTAATATTAATATACCCCAGAATTTTAATAGAAAAATCCCAAATGGATAGAGGAAACAAATAGGAGTGTTTCTTACAGACAAATTTTCCTCCAGGTTAAATTTCTACTCTTTAGTTAAACAAATATAAGCAAACAAATGTGGCAATACATCTACTGAACATTCAGACACAATTCGACACTAGATAGTATAATGGGACTATATACAGAATTATTTCCCAATATTATCAAGAGGACCTATTCTCTCAGTAGCATTATTTCCTGGCCACTGATAATTCTCTTCTCTCTGATTTCAAATCATTTCTTTACAGTACTTGATTATCACTATGTTTACATTATACATAAATCACTCTCTTCTAGAAGTAATGCTGCTTTAATTCCTAACCACTGACAATCTCTCTTTTGGCTCATTTTAATTGTGATATATTTTTATAGTATATCATTAGCAATGCATTTACATTATACAAGACACTTTTAAAATAATGGTTCCTATTTATTTCCATAGAAGACACAACAGATACAGACAGGGAGCACAATTACACAGATAAAACCAGTTTTCAGCTACAAGACACTATATTTCCACATAATTTTTACCATTAGCTATGCATTTTTATGCATATTATGCTCATGAAAATTGTCATCACTTCTTCACAGCAGCAATACTAAAATGCATTACCCTCCACCTAACTGTGCTCATATCTATCTGTGAACATTCAGTAAGCATTGATGAATGTCAAATGGATGCAATTTTTTCCCTTGCTTGAAGACTTCAAAAGCACACCACTGCTTTGTTCACATATTCATGTCAGATACCATTCTATCAAACTGCCACTCAGTTGCTGTGTATAAGAAGGCAACAAAAAAAAATGTTATTGGTGGAAGGTTCAGGCTCTACTACTATACCCCTAATATTTGCTTCTAATATTGTGTGTCAATATAATAGAAAGTATTACCTTCAAAATGACTATTGTACAAATAATGGTCCTCTTCTGTCAGTAATGCTTGTCTTAGTTCCTGAGCAGAAAATTTTTCCCCACTTTTTTTTTGTTCTGATTTCTATTTCTCAATGTGCAGATTGAATGCTCAAATTTGCAATCAAAAACTAAAAAACATTAGGCATTTCCTCTTGCTGCCAAAATATTTATTTTGTTAGTGCAGAAAATGACTAAATCTAGACAAGCAAGAAGTTCAATTGACTGTCATAAGTTGTACCAAATTTAGTCAATGTTGAAAAACAGCCATTATTATTCATATCTTTTCCCTTTCAGGATTTATTGTATTGCTATAAATGTAATCAAAATGGATGAAACTTTCAACATATTTATTGATATCACAGTTGATATACAAGCATATTTGAATTTGTAATGATACAGAGTAACTTTCTTTATCAGTTAGTGTGCTCATAATCACCTGCTCAAAATATGAGCTGATAAAGAAGGGATCAAAATCATATTCTCTTTGTTTAAAAAAAAAAAAAAAAGAGTTATCTTAGCTACTTGCAGAACACATTGGATCAGATGCTTAATTTGAACTTTCAATGTATTTCTTGTTTGTACAAAATAGCAGAAAAGATAACACACTAATTATTGATTGCATGGATAATTACTAAACTAGGCATTGAAGAAAATGGTTGTTCCATTCATAATAATATGGATGTCACACCCATCTGCATCATTTTCATTGGTTTATCTTTCATTATTTCAGTTTGTTCTGATATGGCTTTAAGTGATTTGTCTATCAATGATGCCACTTGTGTTGTCCATTATCAAATGCCTAAAAAGAAGATTCACATTGGATTAAGAATACAAACCATGAGTAATTATTACCAACATTACAACAGTGATAAGGTAAGTAGTTGTGTAGATGTTTTATATTGGAGTTGTTATGATGTGTTATATTATTAATTAAATTTTTATAGTATCTAATTTGTATTATTAATGAAATTATAGTATTAATTATAATATTTTATGCTGTATTTGATGTATTATGTTATTATTATTAAAATAACAAAGTAAATATTTGTTAATATATCAGCATTGGCCCATTATATGAATGAGATAAATGTATTATATGTTCGCATAATAATATGTAATGTGTATAATCTTCTTTTCTATTTTTATTATATTTTATAGGCTCCTGTCAAAAGTGTCAAGAGTTACATTCTAATAACAGCTCAGGATAAAAAACAAGTGAAGAGTATGCGGTCCTTTTTTATGAGAAGCACTGATGTTACTGACAAAGAAACTTGGGATTTTCTATCCAACATACGTCAGGTGAATGATTAATTAAGCAGATTTCATGTTTGCTAAGAATTACTTTTAAAAAAAACTTGTTAAATTTTATAGCCTTGGCTGTCAACCAGTCTAAGAGAAGGGAAACTAAATTTAAACCAGCCTGGGGAGAGAGAGAGAGAAAGAGAGATAGTTGGCAAAGGGCAGATGAGCTTTTTATAGGAGCCAACTGTCAACATGCACAGCTAGGAGATGAAAAAGAGTGATTGTAGCATCATCTGACACACATTGCACCAGCACACGACATATGGTACACTATGATGGAGGGAATGTGCATTGCAGAGCACAAGCAACTGACCCTTTTAAACAACAATTCACTTATGCAGGATGTCCTGTAAAAAATTAGAATTTACTGAACCTTTATCCATTGTTCTCAACAGGCAAATCCATCCGTGTGTGTGCGTATATACGCACACCAGTTGTAACAGCAAAATTATTCAAATTGTGTTACAGTATAATTGTCCATCCTTCAAAATGTTTAATATCTAAAAAACCACTAAACTAATTAAGTTTCTTTTTTTTTTCAAGTTTTCAGATGTTTAGCCAACACCATTTGTCGTAAGAATCACTGAAAAACCCTTTGAGTTATTCAGCTAAAAAGAGAATAGGTTAAAATTGTTTTGTGTCAAACCCTCTGTCTTCTGAACTGAGCAATGGTGAGAGGGAAAAGATCATTCTGGCCTTCAGTAATGGTTCCAACATTCATACTCTGGCTTCCATCTTCAAAGTCCATTCAAGGACCATCAAAATAACAGTGAATAAGTTTTAAAAAAGAGGGAACAGTAGAGAGGGAAAATGAATCAGGTCACAACAGCAAGAGGAATCATCATTTCAAATTAGAGCTAAAGAGATTAATTGAAAACATGATGAACATGTCATTTTCGTTTATGATCAATGTCATCACAATTCTTCTGTTAAGTTTGGAGAGTAATTATACATTCTTATTGTTCAAAGTAGAGTCCAATAATGTTATAAAAACCTCAGATGCATTACACCAAAATAGTCGTTCTTTTATTAGTGTACAAAAATGAAAATCTATGCACACAATACAAAAAAAGTTATAACAATTTTAAAACAGTAGGTGTTAAAGTTTTTCATCTTCAAAAAAATGTAGTGGTGGGGCGACAACTCTAAAAAGAAATTAGCAATGGTAAAGGTTAATATTGGCAGTCAATCTGTATGTTATGAATTGACAATCAGAACAAAGAGATTGTCAATAATCAAGAATTAAAGCAAGCTCTTCTGGCAAAATAATGCATTGAAATGATTTCACAAGGTAAACAAATCAAGCAGGAAGTGTTTATCTACAGTCAGAAAGGAAAGTGCTACTGACATCATGTACACTTTCCTCAGCACATATACGTGTACACCTTTTTCCAGTGTACACATACACACAATAAATTCATCATGAATTTTTAAACTTTAACAATAAAATTTTTCTTCAGTTTTTCTCTCTTCATTTTCTTTATTTTTAATTCTGTTAATTTGTTTTCTGATGATTATATTTAACTAAAAGTTTTAGGCATTTTTTTTCTTTCAGAAATAATAAAGAAAAGAAGTAAATCTTCTCTATTCTTTGTTTTTAGATAGAAGATCTTGACCCTAAGAAGAAACTTTGCCTCAATCTCAAAGCATTTGGAAAATGCAGGTAAATTGGATGAATCATATCTTTTGTTTTCGTTTGACTTAAATTTCTGCTTACCAATGTTTTAATTACTGTCAAATCACTGTATGCAAATGATGTAGCATTAATGTTAGCAAGCAACACGGAATGAATTCGTCTTGAAAAATAATTAGTACAAATATCATTGGAGAAGACACAGCACTTTAAATAACCTATCATTATAAATGTATATCAATGCAAATATCCTATAGGCAGTCAAATTATGACTTTTTGGCATCCCCTCAGACTCTCTCCACATCAGTCTTGAATATTTTATCAACATTTTAACTTGAAGTAAACTTATTGCAAATTCTTTAAATAAACTAGAATAGCTATCTTTTGTTTGTCACTAAAATATTCTTTAAGGAATACCACTATTTTACTATTTGTTGCAAACCAAATTAGTACATATATCAACATTACTGCAGAAAAAAAAATTTATGGCCTGCCATTATAACCAAACTTGTTTGGCTCTCAGCTGTAGTCTATAGAATAATCTATCCCTGCATATATGCCAATATGTGCATCAGAACAACAACAAAGCAATTGAAAAAATGACATTTTTATGCTTTATTAGATACAGAAAAATTGCTTTTTCTAGATTATTTCTTATTTTTAGTTGATTTACATAATCCTGACAGCCAAAATAAACATCTTTCATTCCATTAATCATGTTGGGTGGGAATAGATTTGTTTACAAAAAAGATTAAAACTAAAAATGTCTACACAAATCTATAGAATTTACAGATAATGCTACATAGTCAACTGAAGTGATGAACTTAAACAGTTTGTTTGCTGTGTCTATATGTCATGTTAGAAAATATTTTTATCAATTCACTTCTAATCATGTGCAAGGTAAAACAGTCAAATGTTTGAAAAATGTGATGGGTATCAGGGTTAATGACCTTAGCCAGAATTCAGTAGCTGGGCAACAGGCTGGTATCATTAAAGGTTGTTACAAGTTGTGATGAATGTTCTAATCTTTTTTCTATGGAATCTGTTCTAATGCTACAAACAAGTTTTGCTAAAATTATTTTCATAGAAAAAAAAAATGATTTTGAAAAAAATTATTAACGTATGCCTTTTTTCTTTCTTTTTTTTTTCTCCATCAATTTTTCAGGAATAAGCATCAGTGCAATGATCGCCATTGTGTAGTGCCTTCTGTTGATTTAAATGGAGCTTCTTTGCAACATATTTACTTGCCTTTTCAAGGAGATGTCCGAGTAAGTACATAGTAATGCTTAAAATCACACACACCAGAGGAAATATCAAATTATTTAATCATATGTTACTGTTTGCCTCTATATTTCCCAAACAGTAAATGCTAGAAACGTGTGACTTTTTATTCAAGTTTTATTGTTTGTAATTGGTGGTAGCTTTAACTTACCCTTATGTGTATACCTAACTCTACATATTTGATCAAGTCACTGACATTGTGTATTGGTTTTTATTGCAATGGAGAGGTGATATTCATAGACCAGAATTACTTTTTCTGCTTTGGAGGTCAAATGACTGTAAAACTCCACATATTCCAACATATTCTATACAATGCATTGACTGATGGGTTGAGCAGCACCAGTAATGGGATGTTATTTGAGGCACTGCTCTTACTGTTTGGTAAATATGCCTGCAATTTTTTTACCTGCTACTTTTGTCTGTCTGGAATTCACACATTCCTGCTTTACTGTTGTTACTGTTGCCCAGAGCAGTTTTTTGAAACTTACCTTATTATTGTGAACCCTCATCATGATAGTATGTAACATTTTTTTATTTGATAAAGTGTTATTTTATTTTTAACTGTTGATTATCATAACTCTTTTACTAGTGCCGCCTTCATTTTATTCACTGGCTTTTTATTACATTAGTAATATTTTATGTAACAATAGAATTTCTTAAATGAAGTATTATCAGTTATTATAAATTTTTGATTACAGTTTCTTTTAGCTGTTTCTGTAGTTTTTATTTATTTATTTTTTCAATTGAAACTCTCTGGCCATCATTTTGTGGCCATTAGTAAGTAACATGGATTGGAAACAATATCTGCCTTTAACATTGGCCCATTATAATGCGAGGGCTTTACTTTCAGAGTAACTCTTGTACATAGTAGCCTCCTCCTTTCTGTCAGTAATGCTTGTCTTAGTTCCTGACCAGAAAAATCCCCCCCCCCCATTTTTTTGTTCTGATTTCTATTTCTGCCAAAATATTTAGTTAGTGCAGAAAATAACTAAGTCTAGACAAGCAAGAAGTTCAGTTGACCGTCATAAGTTGTACCAAATTTAGTCAATGTTAAAAAACAGCCATTATTATTCCTTCATATCTTTCCCTTTCAGGATTTGTTGTATTGTTATAAATGTAATCAAAATGGATGAAACTTTCAACATATTTATTGATATCACAGGTGATATACAAACATATTTGAATTTTTGTAATTATATTATGTTTTTTTTATCAATTAGTGTGCTCAGCATCACCTGCTCACAAGATGAACTGATAAAGAGAGGATCACTAAATGTTTTTTTTTTTTTTTTTTTAAGAGTAATTTTAGTATACAATTTTCATGGTCATTAGTAATATGGATTGGAAACATTTCTTTCAGTGTGAGTCTTTTTCTCTGGGGGTTTTACTGATTAGGCCACTGGTTTCTTCTGGGTTTAAAAAAAAAAGATAGCTTTCATTCTAGATTTTCTGCAATGCCTGACCTGTCAACATCTTAAATCTTCTAATTTTAACTGCTTACTAACAACTGTAAAATAGCAGTTTTATAGTTGCAATAAAACTCCAATTGAAAGAATTACTAGCAAAAAAAAAAACAAATTTATAAATTTCTTTTTTTTTTTTTTTTTTTTTTTTTTTTCAGGTGAAAATTTTGAATGTGAAAACAGCTAATAATTTTTATGTACGTATTTTGGAGCACCAAATTGGTACAACTAAATCAATTCAGATCCACAGTGATTTGGCCAGCCTGATTATGGGAATGGCTGTTTATTACAGTAACCATTCCAACAGAAAAACTCTAGGTAATTTTTTTTTCTCTTGTTTCTTCTTTGATTATTGCTGAACTTAAGCCAAATATTGATTCACACCAGGGCATTTGTCAATACTTCAGAAAGTTAAAAATACAAGTGGCTTTGCAGATTCAAATAAATTAACTGAACTCATGCAAATTCTACTATTTAAGAAAAAAATAATTAGCAAACATGGATAAACATGTCCACAATAAGACAGTGTCAAAAAGTTTAGTCCTACAACACCTTTTTTTTTTTTTTTTTTTTTTTTCTTCTTATCAACTACCTTCACTTTTCTGCCTGCAGTGTTTCTTTAAAAGGCGATTTATTAGAATTGGAATAAAACCTAAACATGTTGAAAGCGAATTTGTACTTTTTGTTGTTGTTCTTGAGAATTTACTACAAAAATATTAAACACTATTATATTGTTTATTTAAAAGAATAATTTTATATTTACAACATTATAAAAACTGAAACAATTAGAATTAATGCAATGCAAATTTATCATTTACCAATTTATAAAGAAATGTAAAAACAATTTTTTGTTCATAAACGTATAAACATTTACTAAATTATTATAATATAAGGAATCCTTATTTAGGGTTTTATAAAGTTTTAATCAATTGGCAATTAGCCAATGTTTTGCCAACCATTCCAATAAATAATATAAATAAACAATTTAATAAATAAATAGTATTTATTATTTTTGTTGTCAAATCTCAAGAACTAAGAAACGTTATAAATTCACTTCATCATGTTTGTTTTATTACAAATCTATTCATCGTTTTTTTTTTTAACAATAAACATTGCCAAAAAGTGAAGGTAGTTTTAAAAGCGGTGTCATGAGGAAAAAAAAAAAACATCCTTTTGACAATTTCTTATTGCAGGTACATTTATCTATGGTTGTCAATTTTTCTTTTATTCAGTTTTAAAATTTCAATAAATTTTTGAAAGACTTCAGAAAATTTTTATCTAAAATATATCACATTCCATGAAGTTAGCTATGAATTAAAAAAATAAGTCTCTCTTTTTTTCATAAATATTAAAACTGTTTAACTTACAAGTAAAGGCAATATTTCAGGGTTTTTTTTCTTTTTCTACCTATTTCTTAATATGTCTGCCTCTTTTCATTATATTTTTGCCAATTCTTTAAGGCACTCCACTTCATCCTTTCCATTGTGTTTTTCTCTTTATATCCCATTTGTTAATCCTCTCATTTGGAAATATGCATTGATAGTTATTTACAAAGCTTAGCTTAATCTGTACAAGACTACAGAAGTAGAGTATCCAGTCATGGTCAAACTCTCATAGTAATGTTCTGTAAGATCTTTAACAGAATATAAACTTATTTTGAATGGGGCACAAGGCCTTTTTAAAGTTGGGGTTCCACATGTACCTTGAACCAGAATTAAAAAAAAAAATTATGCAGTTTATTCAGAAGCTAATCGCTACTCTACAGTAACCTGCTGATGATGATATTTCCTAAGCTTATATTACTGGGGCACCTAGGATTGAACTCACTGCTGTTTTATTGTCTGATTGCTAACTATGACTGCTCTAATGTGAAATAATCAATGTATTTGCTAAATTTAATCTGCCACAAGATGATATTAGTGGAACACTGTGGGACTAGCTTGTTGACAATTAATCGTAAAGGGCAGGCAACCATTTCAGCGAATACATCTTCTACGTGCATCCTCACTGATCTTGTGTGACTGTGTTTGTTGAACATTTCAGGTCTTACATGCAACTCAACCGCTGCTGATCAGACAGTGACCCACATCCTGGAAGTTGCAGACTACTACCCCACTATTAAAAAAAAAATTGAACGGTAGAAATAGAAGTGTGTGTGTGTGTGTGTGTGTGTGTATAACCAGTTAAACAGCCAATATGCATGCATTTACATATCCAAGATGAAATTGTAACCAATGTATAGAGGAACAAATAGCTACTATTATGGACAGAAGATTTACAAAAACTAAGGAGGTTATCTGAAGCAATTCCTACATTCACTCACTCACTCTTGCTTTGAGATCTGAACTGGCAGATATGTAAAATAAAAATAAGTTTTCTCTTGAAGAACTATGATACCCACTTTGAAACCAAATAAAACTAGAATTCAACAAGTTTTTCCAAACTTATCTTCATCTTTAGGGGTGGGGGGCTGTTGCTATTTCCTTTTTTAAATTTAGATACAATTTTCTAATCTGACAACAAGGAATAAATGAAATAGACACAATAGTCATTCCGTGTCAAATCAACAAGATTCTGATCATTATTTCAAATTTTGGTACACTTATAGAGCTTCATGATACAAATTGAATGGTGCCTGTTTTACACCTGTAGCTCAAAGTGTTCCAGAGATATGACCCTTTGATGTTTTTCCAAAAAGATGAATTTTGGAAAATACTCATGAAGTTTAAATATTAATATCTCGGTTGTTTTTTTTTGTTTTTTTTTCCACCCACAAAGCTGAATTATATACCATTTTAAAGTACTTGGATAGATTTAAAAGCTGATATATTTATTTTTTTTTAAAGGTCAAATAAAAAAGTTTAACCTTTAAAACTTTGACTTTTA